TGAGAATCTGTTTTGCAAATATTATTGTTGATGATTTGTTTTGTTGATTGTTTTTTTTTATGTTCATTACAGCTGGTTTCTCTCAAATGGCGCATTGTTCTTCAACCTTCCTCCTCGGTTTTCTTGGTTGTTTGGTAGTTTTTGTGAGCCGCTCCTCGTCCCTGCTAATGGGATCACGCTTCCAATTTGTTTGCCTGGGTGCAGGTCAGATAAACCAAACCTAACTAGGGTGGTTCATAAGCTAAACTAACTAACCAAACTTGCTGATGAAAATGAAAAAACCGCATGAAGGTTTACTAAACGAATCGACAGTTTCAATGGATATTAGCATAGCACAGTTAACCCTCCGAGTGTTAAGCGTCACGTAATCGACACACAAACATCGTTTACGGCGAAGGCTCTGGGACTGACAGAATCAGATAGAACTGGATCGAGATTGGTATCGTTGTTTTCAGCAGATTCTAAGCTTTCTCCTGATGTCTGTTTCTAGACGCTTTTCATTTTAGCTCCGAAAATATTGTAGCAGACAGATGACGTGCGTATTTGTAAACAACTTGGTTAACCTCGCACCGATGACTGATGTGTTTTATTACGTTTATCTCATTGTTTTAGTATTAAAAATAAAAAGTAGTGATAGGCTATATGTGGTGCATTATAAGAAGATTTAAGTGATTTAGAAGGGCTGGTTGATGATCCTGAAGAAGTAAACTTAGGCAGTGATTTTGTTGTAAATTATACGCCAGATTCCTAGCTATGGTTAGGCAATGCATTCTTAGCTAAACGCTAAATGTACGTAATCTGTTTTTCACCCATAACTTAGGCTATTTATTTGCAAATTTACTTCCTTATATTATTATAATTTTGTAAGTTAATCCTTATAAAATTTAGATCAAAATGGCTATTTTAAAATAGGTAGCCTATTTGTAGACCTATAAATTATAAACATTTATTCAACGCAAACATACATTTTTTTCATTTATTTTATAATTTTTGAGAAATTTTAAGTTAACCCCACAAAAATTGTTGAAATTTGTTTTCTAATAAGTAATAACTTAGCCTATATTAGGCCTACATTGAAGCCCATAATTTGTCAAACAAAATTATAGGCTATATAACTTAAAACAGTAGGCCTAAGTTTTTATACTTTAGATTGTTTTTAAGTTTCTAAGATAAGTTACCGTACATTTTACTAAAACCCTGCGATTGCACAATAAATGGGCCAACATTAATACCATTACCCACACACACACTCTTGGACACTTGGATGGAGGGTTAAGAAACTAGGCTATACCCGTAAGTTAATTGCAACTAAGGGACTACAGTTTATAGTGGAATCCGAACCACATTTTTGCCTTGGTACCGTATTAACGAATTGGTCTAATTATCAGGATACCGGTAGCACTGTGGATAGTCGTAGGGTAGTACTCACTAATGCGGACGTTAATCCACACTAAGTAGGGAGTATCGTATCCACAGTGTATCCTATAAATATCCACATTGTGACCTCCAAGTAAACTTAGCTGGATTACATGACGACGCCACCGTCCCAGTCTTAAGGGGATACGCCACTATCTCCAACTTTTTTTTTATTATTTTATTTTTGTCAACCTAGTTAGTATATTTTGTTTATACTAGACTTAGTTAGAAGATTTAGGTACAAAAATATTGAATTTATAACTTATTTACTAAATTTATATGCGTTTTTAGTTTTTTTCATCAAATTTTTTAAGAATTCGTTATTGAGAATAACTTTTCAACTACTGATCAGAATGACATATTCTATTTATTTCCTGATTCAGGATGAAATAATGAGTAATTCTGTGTATAATCGTTATGGTAACTAAAAAAACCAAATTTTTAGGACACCTTTTATTCAAAATATAAAAAAGCTGAAAAAAATATTTAAAATTTTTGCGTAAACATAAATATTTTTAGTAAATGTAATGCTATAGGGCTTACTATACACACAAACCTTTATTACTATATAAAGAAGGTCTGGTGAAAATTTGAATACTATAAGTATAGTACTAACGGAGTTATTCAAACTTTTGTACAATAATAACCTAAAAAACACGGTATTGAGATAATCGCAGGTGATGTAACAGGTGGTTGGCAGGAGAAAAATTCCCATAACTATACTAATTTATTATTTTATATGATATATAAAAATAGCAAAGTACTTATTTTGTTTTACATAAATGTACCCTACTTTATACCTTCATAATACATAATTATGATACACAATTAAAAGTGTACATATCAGGAACAAAAAAAAATAGTTCAAAATTTTGTTAAATTGCTGGTTGCGGCGTTTTATATTTTATTTTTTTTATACTAGAAGGAGTTGTCAGATTGGCAAACAATTTTAGCTAAATGTTCACATTTAAATGACCTATCTAAAAATGCAACTTTTGGAAAATGTAAAAAAAATTTAAAATATGGCCTACAGATAGTGGCGTATCCCCTTAATTGATACAAGTTAACTTAATTGAAATGGTTCATGATTGATGATGACCCAATCTAGAGGTTCAAAACCCTTATACACAGCATAAAGTACAATTGACTGCAAGCCAGACATTAACTTTTTAGTCTTGAAATTGCACAGGAAATAAAGTTAGGCCTAGCCTATCTAACTTAACAGAGTTGTTTCAGAAAAAGTAGCTAAGTTTAGGACAAGGCCTGAATTTGAAAGGCTATAGGCCCTAACTATTTTCAAACAAATTTTAAAATGTGTCTATCAAAATAATCTAACCAAACTACAGTAGGCTTAAGTGGCATGACAATTATTTGAAATCGTTCCGGCGTTATTGAACTTACCAAGGAGCATAAAACATAACAAGCACAGTTTCATGTTCTCCAATTCTTAGCGAGAAATCTTGGTCAGTGAAATCCAGAACACTATCGGCTGATACTAAATTAAATAGAATAATAGATAATAATCCAATTAAAAGCGACATCGTATACAAAATCTTCTACCACTCGGTGAACTAGACAAGGGAAAGAAATTGTTACTTGTGTTTGTGTGTGTTCTTTATTCTATAACACTTGTACGGTTTGTGTTGTCGACTTCTGATTGGTCAACGAAATGCCGGCTGACACGCAGCTTCAGTGTAGCCAACAAACGTATTACTTTTAATATCGACAGGTAATTGACAAAATACTGTACATAATTCGAATTAGGAACCGGTATTTGAACCCGCAAATCACTGGGGATTTACCATTTTAGTGGATTTCTCATATGTGGAATAAGCTATTAAGTTACCGTATCTCTCATGGTGAGACCTGGACCGATTTACTTTTTCGTTTTGATGTCCCTCAAGCCAAATACACCACCCGTTCGAATTCTTCCATTTACTTCTTTAATCCGCGCCAAAAGAAGTCATTCCATATATGGGTCCCGATGTGGCAACGTCGCAAGTAGGGTTTAACAGCTGTTTTGTTTGGAAACAGCTAATGGTATTTGTGTATTTACGAAAACTTGGTTACTGGACTATGAAAATATTGACTCCTCTCAAAATGTACAGATATAGATTTTCATTTAATATTTTGTTTGATTTTCAATCCTGTATGTTTTATTTTCAATATTTTAATAAATTTATGTTCATAAATCAATAAAGTGCTAATTAATGAGTTGATGCACGGCCACCTTTAACTTCAGGCCGCAGCCTGGGGCCCATTTCATAATCAAGTACAAACTAATATTATTAGTAAATCAGCTGATCGCCCAATGCAAATCTAATGGAAACTACAAGTTACAAGTTGTAACTTGTAGTTTATTATGAAATGGGCCCCTGGTAGAATTGGCAACGTTGCAAGTAGTGTTGAATAGCACCAGACGTCCCATAAGATAACGTGGCAGATAGGTGACACCAGCTCATTAATTCGCCTATTATTCATTTAAATTTATGAACTTAAACTAATTAAAAGATTGAAAATAAAATATATAGAATTGAAAACCAAAACAAATATTTAAATTGAAAATCTATTTTGTACATTTGAAGTGTAGTCAATATTTTCATAGCCCAGTAACCAAGCTGTCGTGTTTTTAAAAACATGCAAATACCATTAGCTCCCTCCTAACAAAACAGCTGTTACAACCCTACTTGCGATGTTGCCACTTCGAAGGCCGCGGTCTGGAGTTAAAGGTGTCCGTGGCTGATGTCTCCGTCCTGTCTGTCATGTTATCTTATTGAAAGTCTGACACTAAAAACAACCCTTTTGCAATGTTGCCAATTCTACCAGGCCGTGGCCTGGAGTTAAAGGTGGCCGTGACTGTACCATTGAACGTTTCCTCTGTACCTTACTTCTCTACCTAACCCTGATCTGTACAATTCCTTAAGGCAAAGGACTACGGAGGGAGAGATCATGTATCATGTATGTATGTATAGGATGTGATAATAGTTACCTGACTTACTTATAGTATGTTTTGTCTATGATAGTATCTTAGTCAGTTACCTCTTTGCATCATTAACAACTTTTCTGCTAGCAGCAGCTGTCAGCTGAGTATGACGTTTACCCAAGCTGATGAACAAAATCTGTTGTATCTTGTATCGTATTGCGGTCGCAATGAGGGGAGGACTCGTAGTAGGACGATGACGTCATTAATTAGTTCAAATTTGTTCCACGGGCAGCACTCTAGTCAGGCAGCCGACACCGTTATGACGTCATCAACTTTACTTTTTTTTAGGCTTGATGTTGATACATCGATCGGTGCAGCAGAAGACAAGAGTTGAGTATTAATTTTAGTATTTTTATTATAATTGCAAGATTTCTGTTACTACTGACACTAACTTGTTATTTGCTACTTATTATCAGTTAGGCATAGTTCATAGTTTGAATTGGCATTACTTACAACAGTATTTATTATTGCAAGATTTCTGTTACAAAGTTACTGACACTAACTTGTTATTTGCTACTTATTTTTTTATTTATCAGTTAGGCATAGTTCATAGTTTGAATTGGCATTTGAAGGCATTACAACAGTAAGTTATTTAGAACTTTCAGCCTCATGAAGGTCTCATCACCTAAACAGAAACAAGGTATTGCTGGAGCTGCCTGCTTTTTGCTGTCTTGTAATGCGGAGCTGATTCTAACAGTAGCGAAATTGTTAAAACTTTGTATTGTATTTTCGGAAATAAAGACAGTGCTTTATACAAACTGTCTTGAAGATAAGGCAAATACTTACTTAACTTAGGCCTATTAAGTTACAACTTAGGTTTTAATCGTAGGCCTAACTGACGGATGTGGTTCAGATTTTATGAAATGCAAGTGGCTCGTCAAATGTTCTTTTATAAAATAAATTACCAGGGCCTAAAATTAAGAGTAGGCTCTGGCAAAGTATATACACATTTAAATTGTTTCAGGTAACATATAGGGCACGAACACTTGTCGGTAAGTTAGCATAAAACAGTTTGATCGCAAGGGATGGATGAAGGATGAATAAATTGTATGACTAAGCCGATAGTGAGTTTGATCCAGGAAGCTCTGCGGGTGTCAGTATAAACTGGCTGTAGAACGACAAAGTTACTGAAGTGGCTCATTCAACTATGTCTTAATGAATTAAAAATGGCTAGCCTACATGCATGTTTGGTTACATTAAGTCAAAGCATTATCTTGATCAATTTTAAGACTAAGTTAACTCACCTTTCACCTCTTTGAGACAAATGATATATGTTAACCCAATGAACTTGACCACCATTTTACCTAAAATTTATAGCCTATGCCTCGGCAAAAAAAATCGATAACTTATGTTTAACTTACACTAAGTTATTATTGTCTTGTTACAGATTCCTTGAAGGTGGCTCAACAAAATGCAAGGCATCAAAAGTAACATCTGATCAGTACGGTTCAAGAAGAAACGAGTGTTGAATTCTGATCTTTGTTTTAAATCAAGATTACACCTTATTTGGTAAGAACAGTTAATATATTATTTTGTAATCATATCCATGTGTGCATTAATGTCAATAGTGATAAGTCAACGGTAGTCTCTTGCTGGATCCCTTTTGGCTTAGCCAATCAAATACGAGATCACTGCAATGGTCAGAGCCGCTATCAATTTTTGCTGAAGCATCTGACAGTCGAGGCTTTCCTATAGTTTAATGATAGTTGGTTTACAAGTATGTACCAACATGTATTTGGGAAAAATTAAATCATGTTTATTCCAGCTAGAGAAGATTTAATTTACCATTTTAATAAAATTGTAGGCTATTGCAAAGCTATCCTCTTGAAAATGTTTCTTCAGGTAGTCACTCGTCACATTCAAAAATATGTAGGCTGCCTATAGACTATAGAGGATCAAGTAAATGTTTACCTAAATTTGTTAATGCCAACAACTTTTTTAGATTTATTTTTGATTTTATGATCTTAATCTTAATTCAACCCATCACTAACAAATTTGTGTTATTTTTATGTTTAGACTCATGCATCTTCGGCTAAAGCGACACACCCTGAGTTAGAGGCAGTTAATCAAATACTGGCTCGGACAAGCCAAATCAAGAGGTCTGAGCCAAATACAAGGTAAGTCTTAGTAGTGGTAAGTGAGTAGGCTTTTATAGTACAGTAGAACTTAGCTTATTCGAATTTCAGAGGAAAGAAAATATATTTCGAACTATGGGAAGTTTAAAATGTAGAGAGTTTGATTTATAGAGGTCAGAAAAATAAAATTTGAATTGTGGAGGTCCCAGTTTTAAGTGTGGAGTTTGAGAGAATGGAGACTAATGAACACATCTTGGGGGTCGGATTGTCAGTTCATGTTTCAACAAAGATATTTTTTGTCTTACGGTAATGCAGTTCGAATTGTAGAGGTTGACTTCGAATTTTTGAAGTAACAGTTTTAATTGTGGCAACAAAATTCAAATTGTAGAGGCTGTATTAAGCTTAAAACTACTTTGTACTATCGGTATATTATTTTTTTAATTTTAGAGGTTTTGTGAGGGGAACAGACAAACATTTCTAATTATATAGGTTTTCGAATTAGCGAGGTTCTACTGTATAGGTACAGTTTATGACTTGGCATAGTGAAAAATATAACACTTAAGTTCCAGAACATAAAAAATTGACGATGAATGTTTTTTACAGAGTGAAAATTATTTCAAGTGTTGCAGTCAGAAGAGATGTGTCTATTCTGTTTCTTCCTCTCTAATATAGTTATTTGTGCAACTAGTGAGAAAAGGGAGCAATTGACTCACTCGAGAGAAATACTTACTCACGAGCCGTAGGCGAGTGTGGAATGGTTTCTCGAGTGAGGCAATTGCACTTTGCACTCGAGTTGTACATTATATTTTTCCTACAGTTACCATAAAACAAATAAATGGTAAAGAAATGTGACATATTTTTACACAGAAGTGAACTTTTAATATTACATTTAATGATACAACAGCTGACCAGCTGATTTACAGCCAGTGCTGCCAACGTATTTTGCGCGCATACGACCTTGTCTGCATGTTACACGCTCACTATTTCGTGCCTTCACGTTGCAAATCTGGAGTGATTGAGACAAAGTAATTAGAGTGAGACAATGTTAACATTGTCTCACTGATGAGCGAATTGGCCACTTTGATTTCTAAAATCAGTGAGAGAACATGTACATTGTTAGGTAACTGTAGGAAAAATATTTTGCCAACAGCCGATCAATTTGTCAATGTTTTAAATCTATGCCAGTCTACAGACCAAAAATATTGTTACAACAATGTACATTGCCATATTGTACTATAGTTTTTCAATTTTTTTTAGGAACAAATGGGACAATATTCCTGGTTCTGGAGCCAAGCAACACCCAACACTTGGAAACAAAGACCAAGGATAGTTATTTTTAATTTAACAATTTATTCTTTTACTTTACAAAATTAACACCTAAATTTTAAAAGCTAGCTTTGGAAAATAAATATGTGTGTTTTAAAAATAAAACTATATTTCAACAACTCTTTTGTTTCAATTGATTAATATTTACAATTTGTCCAAGGTAGGCCTATATTGCTATTTTTGGTTTAAGTAGTGAGAAAATATTAGTCTTAAGATATATTTATGTGACCCTATCAAGCATATCGAATGTATTAAGAGAATTAACTATCACTGTAGGTGGCACGATCAGACCTAGACCCGGGACTGATATACTTTTTCATTTTGATGTCCTTAGAGGCCAAAAAAACTATTCATTCAAATTGTTATATATATATAACAACTATATATGTGTCCGTGAACGTGATAACTCAAGTAATTTTGTCTGGATTTGGCTTGAAGGTGTAGGGCAGGATAAACTTGAATGAGTTCCCGAACCAGCATGATCAGACTATGGGAACAGGGTGTTATGGGGTTTTTCTAATTTTTGACCCTCAAAACATAAAAATTCCCAATTCTTCTCTAAACCATTTTGAATAGCTTAAAAATATAAAAATAATTTAGTACATTAAAGTGTTTGTACAATTATTGGTAACGGAGAAAAAAAAAATTCAAAATTTCCTTGTTGATCTTTTGGAGGATACTGTAAGTAAACTGTTTTACGTAGTTTGATTGCTTAATGCTTATGGATATATTTTGAGAAGAATCTGGCAAAATAGCAGGAATCCAATTGATAAACATTTTAATAGGTCATCTTAACATTTAAAGCGGTTGTTATATAATATCAATAATCACTGGTATGAGAAGTACATCAGTGAGAAGTACCCGATCTCTATCACCTATGGCGAAGCCTAAGATTATTAACTATGGGGAGTGGGTCACCGGAAGACTGTCCCCCGGACAACTACCCCCCCCCCCCCCCCCAAGCAGGTTCCTACGTCATGTTAACATCAGAGATCGGGAGGGGGGAGAGTTTTCCAGTCACGGAAACACAAGTTTCGTTGTCAAACTGTTCTAATATCAAACGGAATTACCCAAATTAAAAATTACTATTACATAGCATCATATTTTGCTAAGGGGGTGGATAGCATTCCAGTCGCGAACACGGCTCCCATATTGGTAAGTTGGCAGATTTCGCGACGTCTTGTTTCACCGGGGGAGCCTGCATTTCCTGGTGAGTTATGAAACGACCTAAGCTTTAAATTAACTTTTTTTTAAAGTCTAATTGCCTGGGCCAAATGTAACACAGAGAAGCCTTTGCTCAATACTTTGAGGATGTGTTCAAATCAAATGCAGAAGTAAACAACGAGGAAGAGATATTTGAGTATTTGTAGTCTCCATTACAACTTGACTTCTCATTGCAGAAGTAAATATCATCGTAGGTGAAATCAATCATCGTCAACGATCTTCATTCTGACAAGGCTCCTGGTTACAACCTCATAACTGGCAAAATATTTATAGAGCTTCCACAAAAAGGAATTAAGTTTTTACCATGTTATTTAATACAATGTTAAGACTGGAATATGTACCAGCTCATTTCTAAAGGGTACAATCAATTGTCATCCCAAATCCTGGGAAGCCTCTTGAACAGGTAAGTTCATACCGACCTAAGTCTTTTACCAGTAATTCCCAAGGTATTTGAACTGGGTTCCCACAAAAATATCTTAAGTGACGTGAGTGTATTAACAGAATTCCCTGACGGAATTCTGTTAATTTCCCTGACCACAGCACATTTTAGGTACTGTGAGTTCTCAATATTTAGGTATAAGCTTTGACTATTATCCAATAGACAATGGTATAAGGTAAGTATTTATCGTTTAAAAAACTACTTATTTTTATTTAATACGGCCTCCGCCATTACACCTAATTTTAGTGAATTTTCCAAATGGGGAATAAGCTGTTGCCGCAGGTCTCTTGATAAGACCTAGACCACCAACCGATTTACTTTTTTGTTTTGACAAATTTGTTTATTTCATATTAAGCGTTCAAGATTTAAATAAAAAACACTCATTTTATTTTCTGTAGCAACACACCAACCTATTGTTGTGCAGAGTGTGGGAAACCTTTGTGTCAGTTAGATTCAGGCCCACTTTTATAAACGGGCAGACTGCGCATATGCCCAGGGGCACCGGAGGTTTAGGGGTGCCCCCCAACCACCGCCCGCCCGCACTAGGAAAAAAGGGGGCGCTGCTTTTGGGTTTGACCAGGGCTTCACTGACCCTTAACGCTGCCCTGGTTAGACTAATGTATCGGCAATCCTAAAATGCTATGGGAAGGGAGGGAAGAGGGAATTAGGTCCACGAGGTAGGAAGGGGAAAAGGAAGTAGTGAAGGCTAGCAGTGCAGAGTGGGAACCGTTTATGGCAGTTACATTAAGGTCATGGAAGGAAGGGAGAAGGTCCACGACATAGGAAGTGGTGAAGGAAGTAGTAAACAGGGTGTCTAGTTTATTTCCATTCTAAAATTCAAGACTAATTCCAGACTTTTCAAGACTAATTCCAGATTATTCAAGACTAGTTTTTTCAACAATTAGTGGGTGTTGATACTGAAATGTATCGATTCTCGATTCTTGATACCGATACCAATTTTTAAAGCTTAACAAAATTTTCTGAATAATACTACACCAACCCCTGTCTTTGTCATAAAGTAGTATTATGACAATGTGGTGTTTTCAAGTAAAGAAATAATGCAGCAATCAAAAATTCTAACTAGCAAATTTGGTTTTTTTTATCATGAAATCTTCCACGTACTGTACGTTGAGACATCATCATTGACTGCAGCGGTTACAGAAACGTGATCGACGTCGTCCGCGATCACGGCAAAATCATAAACATTTCCCGCGGCCTTGTAGACATCAATGACATCATCGTCGTCTCCCGAGGTCTCAGAAACGTCATCGTCATCGTCCGCGATCGCGGAAAAATCATAAACCTTTCCCACGGTCGTGTAGACATCATCGTCGTCTCCCGCGGTCACGGAAACGTCATCGTCATCTCACGCGGTTACGGAAACGTCATCGTCATCTCCCGCGGTCACGGAAACGTCATCGTCGTCGTCCGCGATCGCAACAAAATCATGAACATTTCCCGCGGCCGAGCAGATATCATCGTCGTCTCCCGCGGTCACGGAAACGTCATCGTCGTCTCCCGCGGTCACGGAAACGTCATCGTCATCTCCCTCGATCGCGGCAAAATCAATAACATTTCCCGCGGCCGAACAGATATCATCGTCGTCTCCCGCGGTCACGGAAACGTCATCGTCGTCGTCCGCGATCGCGGCAAAAGCATGAACATTTCCCGCGGCTGTTCAGACATCACCGTCATCTCCCGCGGTCACGGAAATGTTATCGTCATCGTCCGCGATCACGGCAAAATCATGGACATTTCCCGCGGCCGTGTAGACATCATCGTCATCTCCCGCGGTCACAGAAACGTCATCGTCATCTCCCACGGTCACGGAAACGTCATCGTCGTCGTCCGCGATCGTGACAAAATCATAAACATTTCCCGTGGCCAAAGCAGATATCATCGTCGTCTCCTGCGGTCACGGAAACGTCATCGTCGTCGTCCGCGATCGCGGCAAAATCATGAACATTTCCCGCGGCTGTTTAGACATCACCGTCATCTCCCGCGGTCGCGGAAACGTTATCGTAATCGTCCGCGATCACGGCAAAATCATGAACATTTCCGGCGGCCGTGTAGACATCATCGTCGTCTCCCGCGGTCACGGAAACGTCATCGTTGTCTCCCGCAGTCACGGAAACGCCATCGTCGTCGTCCGCGATCGCGGCAAAATCATGAACATTTCCCGCGGCTGTTTGGACATCACCGTCATCTCCCACGGTCACGGAAACGTTATCGTCGTCGTCCGCGATCACGGCAAAATCATGAACCTTTCCCGCGGCCGTGTAGGCATCATTGTCGTCTCTCGCGGGCACGGAAACGTCATCGTCGTCTCCCGCGGTCACGGAAACGTCATCGTAGTCTCCCGCTGTCACAGAAACGTCATCGTAGTCTCCCGCTGTCACAGAAACGTCATCGTCGTCTCCCGCTATCACAGAAACGTCATCGTCGTCTCCCGCTGTCACAGAAACGTCATCGTCGCTCTCGTGGTTTCGGAAAACGTCATCGTCGTCGTCCACTATCGCGGAACATTTCCCGAGGCCGTGTAGACATCATCATTGGCTTTTGCGGTTACGTAAACGCAAGACGACGATCGCGGCAAAATCATGAAAATTCCCGACTTTGAAATCAAATTTAAGACTAAATCCCGACTTTTCAAGACCATTTTGAAATTCAATACTAATTCCCGACTTTCCCGATTTTCCCGACTACTAGACACCCTGAGTAAAGGTGCTGAGTGTGGGAACCGTTTGTGGCATTAAGATTAATGTATCGGCTATCCTAAAATGCCATGGGAAGGAAGGGAAACAGGTCCACGACGTAGGAAGAGCTGAAGGAAGTAGTAAAGGCTAGCAGTGCAGTGTATGGGAACATTTGTATTTTGTATTATATCCATAAACATTTTTTTATATTTATTGTTTCATTAAAAACCATGAAACATGATTGCTACGCTCAACTGGTTTTCACTGCTATAAAAGCAAACCTAGTTTTCAAGTCGAGGCTTGCTTTTTATTAGAACATTAGATCACAGACAATATAATACTTTAATGTATTAAAGTATTAAAAAAGTATTATATTGTCTGTGATTAGATGCTAACTTACAGTATTTCCACAGACTATATCTGGCATCTTAGTTTCAGATCAATTCTGACCAAGTAGGCAAGGTTTTTAAATTTATCTATCAACTGATTTGTTAACAACTCAAATGATTAAGTTAGGCCTAAGTTAGATAGCCTTAATTCAAAGGCTTCGAGCTTGTTTTTTAATGTTAACCTAGTTTTTTTTTATTTTACTGGTTACAGCCAAGTAGTTATCAAAATTAATTGGGATAGCTCTAAGTGTAACCAACTAAGTTACTGACTGGATGTTATTGAAATGAAATCGTTAGGCCCTAAGTTATGCATACATCATTTAAAATTTAAAGGTGTTTTGTCACAGTGTCATATTTTCACTAATGTAAATGTCCCACACCCACAGTTAAAAATAGTTTTAAGGCCTAACTTACTTGAGTTTAAGAGCTAACTTAACTTATTAAATTAATAAATTATGTTCACTTAATTACTCTCAAGAGTTAAACTGACGTTCTAACATCCACTTAACTTAATTAATCAAACTGTAGGCCTAATTATTACAAAAAACCTTATTGCAAGTAAATTAATGCTTCTTAACCTAACTCAACAGTTGACAAATCAAGTAGCAGACGAATTTGATTACGCCTGCTCTCTGTCTCTCCGCTCGCGAGTCGCGAGAAACGGTGACGTCATCATCTTCATCCCGGGTCTGTCTGGCGCGCCGCTTGTGGAGCAAATTTGAACTAATTAATGACGTCATCGTCCTACTACGAGTCCTCCCCCCATCGCGACCGATCGTATTGTAAGCAAAAGCCAACACGATTGGCGGAACGTACTCGACTCGACTCGAACCCGGAGCCGGAGCGTTTAGTTAGGTGGTTTAGCTTTGGTTTTGGTGACATTTTCTGAGTCTGTTGTTCGTCGTTCATTTCATAGTTCATATACTAACTTGTAGCACAGCGCCCTATGAAATTATCATGTTTATGGTAAACTGGATAAAAACATTGTAACACTTGTGCACATTAATTTAAAAGATCACACTACTACGTGCGTGAGTTTTTTGCCAGTGACTCAACGATTAAGGTAATCTTAGATAGGCCTAAACTTATGTCATTTGAAACTGCATAACCTTATCTTTTATTTTGACAACAACGAAGAATTCAGCCGAACTAGTTTTTAAGCCGTATAAATGATTAAGCCTTATGTACGAAATGGAATTATCGTTTTGGCCGTTTAGGTGTAAGTATTGAAATATTGAAAACATCTTCGAGGTGAATTTAGTAGGCTAACAAAGCTGTCATCTCACTCACCCTTCACTCATATTTGCCTTTAAAAGTTAGGCTACTATGCATCCTAGTGGCGTCACAGTAGGTATTCTAGGCCTAGGCCCTAATCTTACTTGTGTGGTATTACTTACAATTTGTAAATTTTCAAGTCCAAGGTATAGCCTAACTTATAAGTAAACTTAGGCCTCAATGGCCTTCTAGCCTAAGCCTAAACTTTATGTTAAATTTCGGTAGGCCTACAAACCTAGGCTACAGTAGCCTACCTAATATAAGCTAGGCCATCTTCAAAGGGTATAGTCCCGCAGAGAACCTCCGATAGGCATAATATATCGGATGAATAACAATAAATATGGGTGTAGGTAACAAGACATAAGACATTTATTGATCTTTAGGCAAAATTACATGCAATCGATCTTGTCATGGATGCTTGAAATGCACAAGACAGTCATAAGTACAATAGTAAAACATGCTGACTAAAGCAAACATAAAAATAAGTGTTCATTCTACAAAAATAAATAAGAGTGGCTATTTTGGAAAAAAAACTAAAAACATCATGCAAAATTGATGGAGCTAAAGTCTGCTTCAAAATATTCTTTAAGGCTGTAGAAGGGCCTTACTATCAACCATGCATATATCACATTCTTAAAACTACCTAAGCTAACATGCTGAGCTGAAAAAGGCAAGCAATTGAAAAGGTCAATACCTGTAGCTTCGAAGGACGTGAGAACCTTGGTCAGTCTTGTGTAGGGTCTGCAGATTTTGTTTTGACCTCATGTACCATGGTTGTGTACGTGCCTGTGGAGAATGAGAGTGTTTAGGTGCTTTTTGGTATGTAAGAGACATGCAGAAATGTACAAGTTTATTACAGTTTGAATTTTTTCCTGTGAAAAAATAGGTTTGCAGTGTGTATTTGTGTCAGAGTTAGTGATGATTCCCAACATCTTCTTCTGGGCTACTAACACACTACTTATGGAGCTAGAATTTCCCCAAAACATCAACCCATAGACAATTCTACTTTGAAAAAGAGAGAAATAAACCATTCTTAAGCAATCAGGGGATATGCTGACTTTTAACTTTCTAACTAAACATATTATTCGGTGTAACGATTTACATAGGTGTTTGACATGCTCATGCCATGTTAGTTTCGAATCTATGTGCATACCCAGGAGCTTAACACACTGAGAGAATTCATTTTCTAAATTACCAGCACTTGTCAAAGTAAAAACAGCAGTTTGAGTTTTTTCCCTATTCATTATCAACATATTGGCTTTGTACCACTCATTTGCCTGATTAAGAATATTATTAGCAGCCACTGGGATTTCAGTAAGTAGCCTACTAAATTGTTTGTGAGAAAGGTTACATCATCAGCAAATAAGATGGATTTACATTCAACATTTGAGGAAAGGTCGTTTATGGCTATTAGGAACAGTAGAGGGCCCAGTACCGATCCCTGTGGTACCCCGTACTTAACCTCAGTTACATTAGAAAATGAGTTGTTTGACGAAACTTTTTGGAGCCGATCATTGAGGTATGATTTCAACAAAGAATTTTGATTGCCAATGATTCCATAAAAATCCAATTTGTGCAAAAGAATATTACGATCAACACAGTCAAAGGCTTTTGACAAATCACAGAGGACTGCGCCTGTGGGATTTCCGCTTTCAAAGCCAGCAAGTACGTGACTTATGAACACTTCGACTGCATCGATCGTAGATCTACCAGGCCTGACGTTTCGTTTCAATATTCTTAAGTTACTAGGCCTAGGCCTAATATCACATTGAATTTGATTTGACCATAGCCCTAGATAAGGGTACAGTTTCTTAACTGGGCTACCCTAATATTGATTGAAACTATCGATTCGATTAGTAAACCTTCATGCGATTTTTTCACCATCAGCAAGTTTGGTTGGGTAACTTAACTTAGGTTAGGTTATGATAGTTTAATTTTATAATAGATACATTTTAAAATATCAATTATTACATAATCAATATTTTCAATTTGATAGGCCTAGTTTCAATCAATATTAGCGTAGCCCAGTTAAGAAACTGTACCCCTAGATAACAACCAACAAAGCTTTTTCTTTTTTTGTCCTTAACTTAGTTTTTTTCTTAAGTTATCATTGATTACGTTTTTCTGTATTAGGGGCCTCTTTGTTTTGTTAACTTAAACTTAAGTTAGGCCTAAGTTGTAACTTAAAGTTAATACCAGTAAAGTATAGATACTTAAAGGGCCTAGGCCTATTTTGTTTTTGATTAAAAGTGTTAACATGCTTGCTACCGATCGCCACATAAGTCTATATGTGACGCTACGGTCATTGCCAAGGACCGAAGGTATACATTTTAATATTACACATAGACCGGGTGTCACTTGGTTAACAGTAGCAGCACACTAACCGTGGGCCAGTGATGCAGCAAAGTAAAAATCTGTTGACACATCACTAAATCATCATATCCACAGACAAAGTGACGCACATAAATGTGACGGACATTCCTGTAGACCACTGCATAGAAATTAAACTTAGGCCCTTCAAACAGACTGTTGGGAGATATAGGCCCTAAGCTTTTTAATAACATTGGACACCAACGCAAATCCGCGTCGTCAGTCTATTTTAATTTTACCAGCTGTCGCAAAGCCTATATGCCTAGGCAGTCTATGGGTAGAAATTGGCCGTCGCATATGTGTGTAACTGGTCCATAAGTTATGTAGGCCTACCGTAGCCTATGATAAATTTAGTAGGCTACTATTGTGGTAGCAACGTGTTTAAATACTTTATTAATTTTTTTTTGTCCTAGGACGCTAGGCACGAGCCCGGAATTGTTAAATTCACATTACTTCAGGCTAGACCTAGGGGTTACGGCAATATCACTTGGATAAAATCCATTGGTGATTTGGCGGGGTTTGAACCCAGGAACCAGAGTCCCGCGCTCTAACTAAACTAGACCAGCTCGCTCCCCCGACGTGTTTAAATACTTGTTGATAGTTTTATTTTTTAAATATATATACAAACATAAACAAATCATATCTTACTCAATGATGAATAATTACTTAGGATGCTGTATTTAACATTGAATAAGTTAACCTAAGGTAGGACACACGTATTTGTAAACTGCACACATTTAAAAGTAGAATAAACTGTGGGTGAAGTTGATCGGTAGCTGATTGTTTTCATTGTTATCATTTAGCAACCAAAAGTAAGTACTTTATTAAGTTAACTTTTATTCTGTCGTTGGCAATAGGCCTTTAATCAACGTCACTTCACTTCACTACAACTAGAACTATGGTAACTTAACTTTAAGAATACCAAAAACACTGCTGCTAGTCTGCTAAGCTAAGTGGAGGTTAATTGAAGAGAGTATCATTAACTTAGATTATGAGAAGAATAACATCGTTGATTAAAAAATTACCTTTCATTGACTATAGAAATATTTCAAGTGATTCTGTAGGCTTAAGCTAGTCGAAATAATGTTTTCTATAAAAAGGGAATTTCGACACTTTATGAAGATAAGTTTAAACTCAAACAAAATTCCAAAACCTAATCCTGTGTTTTTTTTTTTTAGATGCCAAGATGATGCCCTTACCAGAAAACGAAGATGTAGTGTGCTACTTTGTCATAAAACATTCATGGAAGGGGAAGTAAGTAAATACTGTAAACTCAACCTTAGGCCTACTTAAAAAAAAGACTGTTGTGATTGAAAGTGCTTACATAAGAAAACACTAGGCCTACCTATATACAACATGTGGTGATTCATTGTTATTGCAGCTATAAGTTAACCTCCATCCCAATGTTTATGTAATAAATGTATTGAAGAAGGGGAAAAATGTGCTTGTAACGTTGCTTTACTTAGTTGTTAGATTTGGTGACTGAATGGTCTGGAGACAACAAATTAGATGGGGAGTTCCCTTCTTTCTACTCGGAGTTTTCAAATCTTTAAAAGTTTTTCCTACTTCCAGATCTGCAGACAACTCAAGTAGAATTTAAAAGTGAAGTATTTTCAAGATATCACACAATGTTTGAACTTGTGGTTTTCTTGTTAAATAATCAGTGTATTGGTTGCTAATTAACCATGTTGGTAGATCAAAATAACAAGGAAAAAAGAAACAAAAGACTTGGCACGTGTGTTTATAACAAGCTATCCACAGTCTACTAGGAAATTAAAAAATACATTGCAAAGGGAAACATATCAGTTGTAATTATTGAGTAAAGATTACACTGAATATTACTTGATATAGGTAGGCCTAAAGGAAAATAGTTCCGATCAAATTCTGATTATTTTACTTAGCCCTTTCCTAAAACTTCAAAACTTAATCCCTGAAATACTGAGACATTACTAGTAAATCAATTACATCTGGGGGTTTTAATTGGCATAACACTATTACAATGCTAAATCCCTATGAAAAAATACAGAATCTCAATGTCTTTTGAAGTAGGTAGTAGCGAAAAGCGAATTTTTTTTATCTGCATTAGAAAACACTTTGAAAATTTTAACACTAAAAGAACTGAAGAGATGGTTTGAATCTAATGAACTTTTACTAAATTAAATCTAACATTATGCAATTCCACAACAGAAATAACAATAAAAACCAAAAACTCAATGGAACGGATTTTAATGTCACTGATAAATATAAATTTCTTGGGATTAATATAGATAATAAAAGTTTCAATTGGAAATCACACATTCAATATTTGGTTAGTAAATTGACTTCTTTTAGGTTTGCAAGTAAATGTCTTCAAAATTCAGTGTCACTAGCAACATTAAAAATGATTTATTATGCTTATATACACTCTCTGCTTCGATATATGGAATTGTTCTGTGGGGAAACTAAAAGGATATTAGCAAAGTTTTTAAAGTCCAAAAAAGTATTATTAGAGTGATGATAGGGGCAGAATATGGATCAAGCTGTCGTCATTCTTTTAAGGAATTAAAAATAATGCCATTGACTTCTGTGTACCGGTACGTACATCTATGAAAAAGTAAATTTTGTTCATTTAAAAATATACCCTTTTTGATTAATTTAGACTCACTCATAGTTTACCTGAAACCTAAATATGCTAAATTATCCAATTCATAAACACTCTCATTTTGAAAAAACCCATCATATGGGGATATGTCTATATAATAAGATCCCCTCAAAAATTAAATCCTAGGATAGCCTACATAAAAATTTAAAATTTGGACTAAAGCATTATTGGTGGAGAAATTATATTTTCTCCCTGGCTGATTTCTTAAATGACCATGACATTAATTGACCATTAGTTTATATGAAAGTGAAATATGACTCAGATTGTTTTTTTTTTTTTTTAATTGTTTTGTCTGTGACATTGTTTCAAGATCTTCATTTAATTTTTGTTGTTGCTAACTTTTTTGAATTGGTAACTTTCTCTCAATTGTTCTGTTCTTGTTGTATTTTGTTGTAACTTTTTAGTTTTAGTTTTTATAACTTATTGAATGACCATGCATCTGTTCACCATTGCCTTTGTAATGAAGAATGTTATGTCATAGATAAAACATACTCCCTTAGTAGATTTGTCATCCTTATGGAACAGCTGAAGCCAATTTTATTGTTAGTTCTGTACGTCCAAATATAGAGGTTGTGTTTTGTTTACAATTTGTTTCTTGTTATTTCAGTAATTTAAAAACTCATTTAACCAAACAAAACGATAAAATTGAACGATGTTGCTTAGTCTATGATTATATGCAATAAAATACTTATGACATTACTTATGAAACTAATATGATTTTTTTATATAATATTTTTATCTGCTGTCATTTGTGAGCGTAAAATTTTAACATCGAAAAACGGGTTTTGATGACTAGAGAGGGAAGAACAATTCTGTACGAGTAGCAAACAAGCAGGATCATAAAAGTGTAAATTATTTTTGTTTAATTGCAATGTTTTACATTAGAGAGTTGTTATTATTTCAGCAATCATATGTTTATGGTTTGTAATAAAAATGTTTTTCGTAAATTATAAAATAACTGTTTACGATATTGTCTATCCAATTAACCACAACCGAGCAAGGCTTGGGACTTGGACGAATAGAAGTCATAATTTCCGATGACTTAAAAGAGTCAACTTAAAGATAAATAATCAATCACTCCACTCCAGTTATCAAAACTGAAAACGAACGCTCTTTTAGTCTTGTGTGTATCATGTGTTTACTATGAACAGCTGTAATTAATAAAAATTATTCGTCTGTTTAAGTAATCACAATCTTTTATTTATAAGAAATACATTGGGATTTTGATGGCCTGTGGGGCATAGCCCGAGGACTTTTATTACAGGAATTTGTGAAAGGGGCCGTCTAAACAAAAAATACTTAATTTTGACACACCGTTTGTAAAAATCCGTCCACTGTTAACAAAGGTGTAGTGTTTTGTAGAAATGGCCTTCACGTATCATATATAAAGATTATAAATGACAAAACTGCCCTTGAATTTCCCCTTGAATTTTATTAAAGGAAACATCCACTAATCAATACTAAGTGCATCAAATTATTCCGCCTCATATTTTATGCATAGCTTTAACTGATTGATCATCACAAAAACTATTACCCAGGAAATAGGTTGAGAATCCATTTAGTTGCTTGTGATGAAAAATTAAATTTGTATTAACCCATTTGCATCGGATAACGTACCAGTACGTCAAGTCAGTGATGTACAGTATCACGGCTGACGTACTGGTATGTCATCCATGAAATTTGAAAATTTGGTTTTTTAAATAAATGAGCCATTTATACTCACAACTAGCTGTACCTGCGGGCTTTGCCCCGTTTAACTTTATAAGTGAGCTCGTTCGCATGGCTCAATCACGTCCTGGTGAAGTTCGTTCGCTACGTTCACTCACTTTTAAGTTGGAGCTCGTTTGCTACGCTAACTCACCTCCAGGTTGAAGTTTGTTCGCTACGCTCACTCACCTTTTGGTTGCAAATTAGCTGTTGTCATAAATGTAAGAGAAATAATAGTGCTGCACCCTATTTTGGGCTGCTATTTTTGTCTGTTATTTATTTGTGATAACATTGTGTCTTTGTTATAATTATCTGTCCTACGTAAAAAAGGGGGTTTTGAGAAGTAAGTAATAAAATGTTAGTCACAGAACTAGCACTTGTATGGGCTAAATATCAAAGTTATCATTTTTTATATTTTGAACCTTTTACTGTGTGCTGTGTAAGTTACTGCCTGGAACTCTTTTCTTAATTTAATTGCGTTATTCCTCTTCCTTAATGACACTTAGTTATATGAAATTTTTATAAACTACAGTCAAATAGCAAGGATTAAAGGCTGTTTTTCGTAGCCTTCTGTTTATCAGTACAAACTCAATAAACAAGGGCCAGGTACAGCCGTTTTCACCCAGCGACCGAATTCAGCAAGAAAAATTCAATGCATACAAAACTTGCTTGACATTTTTAATTCCGCAGCCGAATTTGGCAGCTTTGAAAATCTGTCATAATATAATCAAAGACTGAATTAATAGGGGTTTTCTGGAGATAAGTCTCAATATTAGTGTATAACCACATCATTAATTAAATCCCTCACACAGTAGCACAAACTCGTGCACTAATCGATCTAGTTAACTTACGTCTTTATATTTTTCCTTTGACTTATCCAACGCTCTGTTTCAGATACAAGCGTATTTTCTCCATCGGCACCACAGGCATTACCACCTACAAGCCGCAGACTCTAGAAGTGACCAACAGATGGCTGTACGCAGATGTGACTTTGCTCAAAGTGTCTCCGTCGTCGCCGCAGGAGTTCATGATCACGGCTCGCAAGGAGGGCAACAAGAAGGGCGACACCATGAGGTTCTCTACCGAACATCGAGCGCAGCTGCTGTCCGAGGCGTTCAAGTCTCGTCACATGTTCCACGAGCGGTGGACCGAGACTCAGGTAGACAATGGATACTTGAGTAGACATCGAGATATGTACCAGCCATAATTAACGTATAGAACATGGTTGAGTAAGTTGCTGACAGAGAGATATAAATTTGGATTTTCCTTATTTAGTTTAAGGTACTAGGCGATGATTGATGTTACTTAAAATATGTTATAGTTTAAAATACTTAGTCCATTTAATTTATCTTCAATATGAAGTTGCTATTCTACAAATATGTATAATTGGATCACACTCTATTGATGGTAAAATTCAACTCGATCATTTTTCAATCCAAAATTGGCCTCAGTTTAAATATGGAATGGAATGTCTATTCTATCAGAAGTCGATTAGCAATTCAGCAATAGCTGAAGTTTTCATCTGTTTTTGTTTGTATATTTATTTCTCAGCTATGTACCAAAATATTGTCATAGTTTTTTGTAAAAAATTTCCAAATACCTGAAAGGGCAGGTAACGTCAAAAAAATTTGTTTAGGACCCAGGGAAACAAAAACCGGTAGTCAGGGGTGAAAGAATACGAAAACAGGATTTTGTAAGTACAGTCTCTTCACTAATGACACTCTCTCAAGTGTGTGTCCTACTTGCTGATAATAAATGAAGTGAAAGTTGCATTCTTTTTTCAAATTTAAACCTATTTTAAAAAGGTAGCCTATGTCAACCAATTTCTAAATTGAAAATTTATAACATCTCCTACTATACAAGTCAAAGTAAATGTTACGCAATTTTCCTAGAAGGAGCCTTGGTTCCACATTATTTAGATAGCTTCAGAGTCATTGTGTGTCTATGTGGATAATCAACAAACACCTCCCCCCCTCCAAACAGCTGATATAAGCAAAGATAAGAGGAACAGCTGTTTAACACCACAGAGACTATTATCTCTACTGATTGTAGACTGTGTTTGCACGTTTTAGTTTATTATACAAAAGTTGTGTCCTTTGAACTGATATGTTAACATTTCGTTCTACAAATCTTATTTAAAAGTTAAAACAAATCCCAATCAATTTGAAAGGTCACACTAATATAATTACAGATTGAAAAATAACAAATAATAATTTTTCTCCTATTTACTCTCTGTGAAATGATTTTAGTGAACAAAACCTAGATACATCCCACAAGTATTGCTGCACATAGGGGGGTAATTAGGAATAGGGAATACTATGTTTATATTCATACAAAAAAAGGACATCCAAGCTGATGGTAAAAACTATAAGTTAATCCATACACACACAAAAATCATTCTGATTGAATGGTTGTCTGATCATGCGGTTTGAATGGTTTTGGTAACTAGTCCCCCTCTAAAAAAATGCAAATCAGTTTGTTGAAAATTAATAAAATCCAAAAGGCCTGATTAAAAATGCAGTTAGCCCATACTTATGCCAGAAAATATCAAAGCTTGTCAAATATTACTAGAGTTGTCTTCTTCAAACACCAACAATGTTTTACACCGATTCATTTTTGTTTCTGTTCCAACTAAAATACGACTTATAAAAACGGTTTGAGTGATAAAATAACAGAATTATAAAAAAACTTTGTAGGCTGGTGACCAAAATTGATAGGTATACAACAGCCTAACTTTAGTTCCTAAATATCAGAGTTACTCCCACCACTTATAACCATTATAAGTGTTTTTGACAAGCTTATGGGAGAAAGATACTTTTTTGTCCTAGGACGCTAGGCACGAGCCTGGGATTGTTTTTCACATTACTTCAGGCTAGACCTAAGGGTTGTGGCATTATCACTTAGATCCATTGGTGATTTGGCAGGATTTGAACCCGGGACCTCTTGGACCAAAGTCCCGCGCTCTAACCACTAGACCAGCTCGCTCCCCACTGTGAGAAAGATACTGCTGATACTGTTTATTTTACTTTTAACACAACAATTTTACTCCTCATCAACTTACCTCTAAAACTAAGTGCTGAATATGGTCCTGCAAACTGTTTAGCTTTTAGTCTGTATAACATATAATTTCAGTCTTAAAAGTTTTACTACTACTAAATATTGTGCAGCATGTAACTAAATACTCTGCAGTATGTAAATATAATGTGTTTGATTTGGATGTTATGCAACGATAATTCTGCTCTTGTAAAAGTGTTTACTCTAGGTTATTCTGTATTTTTCAGAAGTATGAGGCATTCAAGCACCATTGGTCTGGCACTAGGTTGCCTGTGCTGCTTGAGGTAACGCCTATATCCGTGGACCAGTTGGATACAGCTACCTCACAGATATTGGCATCCTACTGCTTCAAGGATATCCAAACAATCCAGTTGGTCAAAGATGTAGCCTACGGGTTTGTCATAGTATCCGGGAGTTTCGGGAGAAAGGTAAATAAATTTTACTGATTAGTATTTGGGTATAAACAATTTTTCAATGAGCATTTGTGGATTTTTCTAATTTTTTAGATATTAGTAAAAGACTTGTGTGCATTACGAGCACAAATAGTCATTCCCACTTTTGAAATGTTTATTCCAAATGTATCATCTACAGTTATTGAGCGGCAATGGCATGCTTTATATTTATGCTCTTACACAAATAGGGAAATATCTACCTATCTAATGATTTCAGATAATTGTTTCTGGTCCTTTTTTGTTGTAAAAGATGGGCATACATAATTTTGGTGTAATAGTATAGATGTGTTCTAGTTCTAATGAATGTATGTTTGATTTTGTTACAGCACATGTTCATCAGTCAAAACCGAGATGAGGTTATAAAAAAGATCCAAGAGATGGCCACATTTTACCTAGCTCTGAAAATAGATGTTGCATCTGAAGAAATTTCAATTGACGAATTTGCCAATTTAAGGTTTGGGAAATACAGGTATGATTCTTGTTTTAGTTCTGGCAATGTGCAAAATTTTTCTTATTTCTATCTTATTTCCTTGATTTTTCTAGAATGTGCAAAATATTTGTCTAGGCAGTGAAGTAAATAAAAAAAAAATAAAATTTGAATTAACTCAAAGCTACAATAGTCTGAATCTCTTGTTTGGTAATTGCTAGTTTTCACTTAGGCCGATATACGTTTTGCAGTTCGAAGGCTTAAAAATAGGTTTGATTATGTGGTCATGCAATCTTCTTGTTCCAGTGAGGACGAGTTTATCACGTCAGTCGTGGAGTTCACAGTAGAGAAGATCCAAACCAACAGACACACGGATGCAGAGCGTCGTCTGCTATGTCTCAGCCAGGCTTGTCTGATAGAGCGAGACGTACAGACTTACAACGCGGTCACACTGCGGCCGCTGGTGGACGTGACGGCCCTGATACGCTGCGACGACAACTCTCAGCTGTTCACCATAGAGTACGCTGATGGCAGCTCCAAGACGTACCTCACCACCAACAGGTCGGCTATGGGAGTACTTTAGATAGTTTAAAAGGAAAATTAAAGTTGTATGTCTAAAAGTATACACTAGTGTTTCAATATTAAGAGGGTTCCACCCACCGGCTGAATTTTTGTACAAAGACAATCTGCTCAAAGCCCAAGTCTTTTTCTACTAATAAAAAGCCTTAATCTTAATCTTTTGTGACAGATCGGCAAGAACCTAATATAGTCTACGTAGATCGGTCACCAATTCTATACTAACACGTTTGATTATATTTACAGAGATTCACTGTTGGCAACACTGCTAGACGGAGTGAGGGGGTCAGGAAACATGGATGTCCACGTGAAGATGAAACCTACAGCCAGGGGCAAGAGAATGGGCCCTTTTTATGCAACCATGGAAGAAGAGGTAGGCAGTACCTCTCTTATTCTCAAACTCCATTAAATCTTCGTAAAATTTATTATTTACTTAAGTCTAATTTAAAGTTTAATATCTTGAATATCTTGACTGTCTTGCAACTAAACAAGTAATAATAGCAGTGTGTTAAGAATTTTTAGCCTTTCTGTTGTAAAACTCTGTCTCAATTTTGTGTAATAGAACAGGATTGGCATTGAATTTGTTTCAATTTTTTCACACCACTCTGTTTAGTTAATTTAATTTGTACACTCTTTTATTTTTATTTCAAACAAAATAGAGAGTAAGATGAGGCGTTTTATAAAATTTTGATAAAACAATTACCGTTATTGGGATAACAATTTTAGCTGAAAGACTAAAGTTCATCTTTGAACAAGAAACACAAAAAACACTAACACAATTAAAAGAGTCTTCCTAAGTCAAGCATTTTTATAAAGCATGCTTATGATCTCAGTCTCTTATAATCTGTCGTTGAAATGCTAGAAAGCATTATTAGGCCTAATTAATGATCCCATGATAAATTCGCTCAGAGTTGAATTTTACAGTTTAAGTCAGAGTTGACCAATTGATTTCAGACTAAATGGTTTATGCTCTCTTGCTACATAAATTGACCCTATGAAAGTAGTAATAATAATTGCTCATTCTAGCGTGGCCTGTGGTAGTACTGGCCAGTTTTTATTTTTTGTGATCTTTCGTTCTGTGTATATATTTAATGGTTCTGACAAATTATGGATGGATGACTGATGCTTTTTGGTACTAGAAGATAGACTCTAGTATTCCAAAACTACTAACCTAGGATCATTTGTCGGAGCAAAGTAACATAAACTGTAACTTAAATTCAATGATTCTGAGGCTACTTCACCGTGAGATTTCAGACCCTGAGTGTATAATGGTATGGATGTTTGTGTTCGCAGGTTGAGTCTTTGCACATTTCGTACCTGAAGGAGGTTCCGGCCCGGACCGGTAAGCAGTTTTGTGAGATGCTGGAGAGGTTCAACACAAACGTCCCTTACAGCGGACTCCTACACCAGACGACGCAAGATGTTAGTAAACCAAAATTTACTGATAAATAGCAACTGGGGCTTGACCGGATCAATTTGCAAAAAGCTGTCATTGAAACACTGTGTGATGTTGTTATACAGCCTAACAGTGTGCACCACAAACAAATCACCAATGGATTTTATCTGAGTGATAATGCCGCAACTCTTAGCCTTAGTCTAGCATGAAGTAATGTGATCAATGATCCTGAGCTGGAACCTAGCACTCTAATAAAAAAAAATAATAAAAAAACACTCACCACCTGTAACGTAATTGTCAGCACCCTTTTCCTATTGGCTTGTCGTACTCTAGGCCTGCCCTCTACCTACCTGACCTTTGTTTAATACATTACTATGCATCAGTCGATTGTCACCACACAAAATCTCTACACAGCGTATAAGCAGAGTTCTTCATCATCAAATTTGTCATTTTGACATTTGTTGACACTTGTAAAATCAAGGAACCAAAAATAAGGTCAATTGAGTTAAACCAACCTTTAAATATTTAACTCTTGTTTTTGTGAAATTATTTTGGTCTACTTTAACTCTAATTCGGTGGGAAAAAATCATTTTTAACCCGTATATTTCCCTTTTATTCGTAGAAGCTGAGATTATGTTTTGATAAATGTGTATCATTTTTATTTCACGAGTCATGTGAACGAACATATTCTAGTAATTTACAAATATGTAGCCTAACACATATAACCACTTCATAGACAGTCAAAATATATAGTTTTTAACATTTTTTATCTTTCACAGTTATTTGTTTTTCCAAGTATGGCATGATTCTTATGGCCTATTTTTGGAGTTTCAAAAACCGAATATGAATTTTATTTGGACAATCCTCTATAGATTGCCACACCATAATACAGATAAGGATTGGTTTTAGAGTGTACAGTTTCTTATGTATTTATCCAACTGTTATTTGCACGTGTGGTTGCAGGGACTGTTCACAGACAACAAGGAGAAGATGATACAGCAGGCACTGGAATCTGTGATGGCCAGAGGTGATCTGGAGCCAACAGACATGGACGTGGCTGACCTGGAATGTTTGTTTCACACTCTACGTCGCCTCATAGCTTCCCGGGCAGGGTTTAGCGCCTTCACCCAGCTCAAGGGGTACGTCTACGCCTAACATCCCACTACTTTAGTTTCCCACAGAACAATTAACTTAACAATTACATTTGTAAATACGGTTCAGCCCATGGCTGATTGCGTACTGAGTGTGTACTGTGTAGTTACTCTGATGGCAAGATGCCGGTCTTAGCCCCACCCACTGCCGTGCCAGACCAAAATGTTTGTCACTTTCTGGATGACCCTTGTAAAATCTTGTCCATCCTTAATTTTATCTTACTTATTTACTGCTGTGGCCTCTGGTACTCTAAATGGTACTTGGGCTCTCCAACACACTGACTCCATCTTTGCATCTTGCGTCCTCCTTCCTTCTTTCCAGTTTTCTTATATGTCCTTTTCAACTTGGTTCAACCACCTCAGTTTCAATCTACCAAGGGGTCTTCTTACTTCTGGGTTCTTCTCCATTACTTTCTTTGGTAAAGAGTTGTCTTCTTATGATATGTCCTGCCCATCTTATCAAAAACAAATTTTTTCCAACAAGTGGTATTTAAAAACCACACAAAGCTTCTGAGTGATCAAATGATTCTAGTGCAATAGTCTTATCCACACAGGAAGGGCGGTGAAAATGTCAAATGTTTACTGATAACATCAACTTTGCTTTGTTTAGTTGTGTACCTCTATTTTTCAAGCCAACTTGAGTAAACACTCTCAAACATGTAACTGGTACTTTAACAGTTCATTCTTGCAGTTTCCGTGAGTCACTGGGTGTGAAGGTGACCAAAGCGCTACGGCGTAACCACGAGGCCGTGACACACGCAGCCATAGACACAGTCTGCGCGCTGATGAAGCCGATGTACAGTGACTGCGACCTGCGCCAGGAACAGCTGAACAAGTCGTCTCTGCTGTCGTCACCAAAGTTCCTACAGAGCTTGCTGGACATGTGGGTCAGACATGTGGTGAGTGCAGAGACTCAAGATGATGATAAACATAGATTTAAAATTCATTAGAAAAGAAATATTTGGAATAGTATGAATTTCTATACAGTAGAGACCCGCAAACTAGGCGTAATGTGGACTGGAAGGGTGCCGAGTTTGTGAAATGCCGGGTTATCGGAAACTAGGGTTAAAAATAAGAATAAAACAATTTGTAATCCTTTTAAGTCATCAGATATAGTTAAATAAATCCTTGGTACGAGTTGGGAATGATATGACTTGAGACCTTGTTTAACTCGGACTCAAAAATCACTAATTTTCTGAGCCAGGTGATGGCCGAGTTATCCAGACTGCCGGGTTATCGAGTGCCGAGTTTGCGGGACTCTATTGTACTTCGTTCACAAAATTTAAGGTGTGAAGGGAAGCGATTCTATCCCCTCCTCTCACGCTAACTTTGAAACAATACTAAACAGCTGATTAAACCATAACGCCAAAGGGGTGGGGAAACCTAGGAAACCTTCCCCTTAAACCGCCTAAATTTTGTGTATAGAATATAAAGCTTTTAGGCTAGTTTTTTTTAGGATTTCTGTGACATTTTCCTTAATTTTAAGTTAAATAAGATTTTAAGACGTTTTTGAATCTAAAATCTGATCCTTACAGAGAAAATAAATAAGTACTAAAACATAACAAGAGTGGTTTTTATCAACACAAACCTAGCAAAGATGAGAAAGCACACAAGAAAAACCTCACTGAAATCATCTAAAGTCAAAACAAGAAAAAACCACCCTAAAATAAATTAGCACAAAAAGAGTTGGGCAAACTAAATGGAAACAGTCAAGTGACACTGGACTACAACAAATGTGTCTTTTTCTATTTTTGTCTTGTTATGTTATTTTTTAGTACTTTATCAACTGAGGATAGGATCAGATGACAGATCAACATTGTGATATTATTTTTACTTCTATTGGTGTTGGAAAATGTCTGCAATAATTTCTCCTCCAACAGACCATAGCTGACACAATACACATTTTCCCACACGGTTGTTGCAGGAGTGCAACACAGGGACTTTGGTAGTGACGGCCATGTTGGATTTCCTCACCTTTGCGTTGTGTGTTCCGTTCAGTGAGACTACGGAGGGGAAACACTTTGACACGTTGCTGGAGATGGTGGCTCAGAAGGGCAGAACGCTCTTTAAACTCTTTCAGGTATAAAACCTTAATGTTTTGTTGTAACGTGGTGGTAAATTATTGTGGTTTGTTTGGGGAAATGTGAAAATTTTTGAAAGTTTGATTAGTTGACTTGTTTAGTTAGATAAGTATTTTTTGGGTCTCACCTTATTGAAATCAGGAGAACACAGTTGTTGTCACACAACAGTTCATCGTACACACGTTGATAAAAAATACAAAAATAAAAATAAAATTGAAGAGTTAAGTTCTCTTGCTCCGACGTTTCGCCGCACCAATATCAACGTGCGGCGTTTTCAAGGTTATTTTTTCACGTAAACGTTGTGAGCGCCTAACCACGACTGACGATGGTGGAGGAGGGGGAGGGGAGCCTCTGTTATCTTGATCAGCTGATGGCATTATCTTCTTTTGTTTTGATTTTCTATGCACCCTTTAATTTCTTTCTCTATTAACATATTGTAAACAGGGCTGTGGCAATGGATGCGTTGGCTAACGAATCTTTATCTGAAGAAATAAACAAAGCCTCAATAGTGTTCCTTAGAACTTAAATTATTAACTTGGGGATACACAAAGTTTACAAACTTTTGATATCCAATCTCAATTTACGAAATCATATTCAAAATTCAAAGCTATTCAACTCAATTTCCAACTGCCCATCCACAGGCTTAATTCATTAAATATTTCCTTTTTTTTCATGGGAGGATGTTTTTAAGTGATATGCTAGACTGTGTCTCAATATACATACTGTACGTTTTAACTATTTAACAAACATTAACAGCATTACCATAGCTTTGCTGACTTGATACAGTTGTTTATTGGAAAATAAACTGTTGAATATTTTACTATATTTCTTAATGTTTGTGTGTCATTGACTCTACTTCTCCCTGTTGCAGCACACCTCCCTCACAGTACTGAAGGGAGCTGGACTTGTGATGAGGGCGGTTATAGAGGAAGGTAAGGCTTACTGTTAGTGAAACTATCAGAGCCATTGTTTTGTAGTGAACAATCTTTAGCAAATAAATTATATTTTATGATGCATGATCTAGGCTCATTGCAACATATACATTAAGCAAAAAAGTAGTGGAGGAACTTTCCCTAAAACCACCTAAATGTTGTGAACGGACTAAAAGGAATAGTGAGTTTTTCAGGTCTAACGGTGGCCAGGAAGTTATTGCATCAGTGTTGCCAGGAGGTCACGAATTGTGGATAATTATAGGGGATGCACTGTGGATGCGATGCTACCTGGTGTGGATTAACGTCCGCACTAGTGAGTACTACGACTATCCGCAGTACTATCCTAAATAATTAGACCAATTCGTTAATTACGAGGAAAAAATGTGGTTCGGATTCCACAATAAACTGTAGGTCCCTTAATTGCCATTAGCTGTATGGGCTGTATGGGGAGTGTTAAATAAACAGCTGTGTCTAAGGAACATGTCGGCCTTAGTCACTAACAAGACTACAAGATCGCGCCACTCATCCTACACTCATCCTTCACTCATATTTGGGTTAAAATACGCACATAGTGGCGTCCCCATCTTAAATAATTGATAATTGATAATAATAAAATTGATAATCATTTATTATTAAAAGTTGAAATATTTTAGTCTCTGAATCAGGTTAATGCAAATAAAAGGTTTAAAATACCTGCTGTATTATAAACCTTCTTTTTTTGGTCAAACGACTACCATTTCAAACCTTGTTTTAACTTAACATTTAACAGGCAATAAAGAGTGTGTATTGGGCTATACACATAAGAGTAATGAAATTTGTTTAGGAGGGGAACAAAACTACTACCTACTCACTTGCTATTGAAATTTCAGCAAACATTTTTTTGGAAATTTGTGTTAGAGTGTTAAATTTTTGTATTCAATCAATACTTAAAAACAGACATAAACAAAAGATGTCAAGCACAATCAGAGACAGATAATGGGCGCAATCAGATTGGCAGAATTAATGCGCGATCGTAAGTTGTTGGGCACAATCGACAGATGTCGGGAGCGGTTGAAAGACTTCAAGCGCAATCGGCAGGATCGGCTGATGTCAGGCACGATCAGTAATTACCCAAATCCCAAAATTGTTGGGTATTTTCAACTCTAGTTAAGGGCACTCATGACCAAATGAAATAGTAAGGTTAATCACTTACATACGGTCTGTAGGAGACGCAGGAGTGGCAGCCAAGATGCAGGAGCTGGCGTTGTGCGAGGGAGCGTTACCCAGACACTTGCTGATTGCTCTGTTCACCTCCGGCAGTGAACAACGTCACCTGGCCCATCGTCAGCTGAGCAGACATCTGGTCGGGCTGTGGGTGACAGGCAACTCTTGCGCTATGGAGCTGCTAAACAGATGCATGGTGAGATTGCTAGTTTAATCTTTTAACTATATTAATTTGAACGTTTTGGAAAGAAATTTGCTGTGTAAATTTTTCAGAATGGAAATTTATGGTTTTTGCAATCCAAATGCCTGTTGACTCATTTGTGGTAATAGGTTTTCTTACCTCCATAAGTCTAAATGAATGTCAACAAAAGGGTGCTAACTAGTTTTACTGTGCATCATTGTCCAAGCATATAAGAAATATCTATCTATATATTAATAGGCAAGCATGTTTCTTTAAAACCTTTTTTCTCAGCTCGTGTGTATCGTAGGGAAAATCTACGCATACCGTTAGAAAGCTATTTTCCTGTAGGTGTGCAGAATCCCTTTATAAACTAAAATAGGCACAAAAATAAGCACAAAAAATGAATTTGAAATTTTAAAAAATTAACATGGGTTTTATGGGTTGCTATGGTGATGACGAAATAACAACAAAATATAAACAGAAAATCAAAACAAATGGAAGACATTCCAATCACATGGTTTATTTAACAGTGTGGGGTGAAAATAGAGAAGTTTGCACAAAACATACTTTTGGTCGATTTTTCGACCACGGGGCGTGCTCTCGTCTAAATAAATAATTGCTTTTATCACAAAATATTTGGGACGGAAGGCACAGGTAGAGTTATCAGTTGGTGTAAAGGTACAGTGACTAATTATTATTTTACAGTGTCTCAAAAGTGTGTGACACAAAAATTGTTCAGATAAATACAGAACACTTTGGGAATGTGTTATTTTGGGACATGTTCCAAACATCTATCATATAGGTCAGATTTATCTCCCAGAAACTGTGGTTAAGATCTCGGTGGTTCTATGATGATGAGTTAATGAAAGATTCTAACACAAATTGGTTAAAGGATAAGGTGGATTTTTCATGAAAATAGAATTTCAAAGCTAGTTAAATGCCAAAAACGCCTAAACATATATTGTAATTATGATGAATTAAATAATGGATTAGTTTCAAGACATATAAAATAAACTGTTTTAATTTTTGTAGTTCATTTTTATCAGTATCACTGAAAGTTACTTGTAAAAGAATGTTTAGTGTAAACACTTGTATGTCTATTACTTGTCCGCAGCCTGTGGGACTGCTACAGTACCTGGAGAGCAAGGACCGAGTACCTGACGGAGAGGCTGAAGACGTGTTACAGATCAGAGACAACCTGAAGCTGGCGCAGGACCACGCGGCCAAACACCAGCGCAACCACATCTCTGTAGCTCTGGACAAGCACCGGCGCATACTGGAGAAACATGTTGAGGTAACTGTTCTGAGTTGTGCCAACGTTGTTCACCTCTGAAAGAGGTGAATCAATGATGATGATTTGGTCACTCAGTGGGTAGTGCTGACTATGAATGGAGCGACGTTGTGGGTTTGAATCCTATTGCCACTACATTTTATGAACACAGTTCAATTCTTGAATTGTACCGGCTCACCCCTTTATTATCTGGATACGTTCTACGTCTACAATAGGAAGAAGAAATAAGAAATACAAGGACCAAAAATACTAAATATTAATCAAAATCAGTTGAGCAATTTTTATCAGATTTTTGTTATTTTATGATTTTTTTATGAAAAAATCTACATTATAAACCAATATTTCCAAATAATGAAAAATCATCAGAAAACTGATTAATACACATATACCAAAAAATTCAACATAATCGGGACCACAGACTGTGTATTCTGTAGCTGTACACATCACTTCGAAAACCAATTTATTAGGTCCAGGGGAACTCATAACAAGTATTTCCACCCAAAACTCAAACTTGAAAATGCTTACAAAAACCATACTTTCTCCATACACAGGGTGGCTGAAAAGTCCCTTTACACAATATTGCAGTATGTAGTACACTGTTATAAAGACGACTGATTAGCAAACATTCCTACGTAGTTAGGGAACGGTGGGGGAAGAGAATGAAGCCTCACTCTCCTTTCCCCCCACCACTGCCTCGGCCCACGACACCAATTTAATTAATCTTTAGTGTAAATGGACTTTTTGGCCACCCTGTATTCTACGCATAGGAGAATGTAAAAAGCTTGGTTCTGAGTATTACCATTATCAATGCAGTAAGAATTTTCTTTACTTTCACTGCATTGCAAATACTTAAAAGAATACCCAAACATTACTTAACTTTAAGAACAGAAAGATATTGTTAATTTTTTTTTTTTAGATTTGCAATGTGTTTTTCCAGCATGTGCTAGAACATTGGGGCACTTCGCTAAGCAACACACTGGGTATCGAGAGGAAAGACGAGAAACCCAGAGACCGTCCGGTTGTGTTGCGGAAGAGAAGAGAGCGAATTAAAAGCGAAGCTAACTGGAAACTTTTCTACTACATGTTCAACCACGACCACAAACTGGCAAACCTTATCTGGAATCACAAGGTAGCTGTAAGACAACAATTGTAAACATAACATTGCAACTGGTCCCTGATTCGTGGTGGGATATATAAGCATAATGTGGAAGTTGCAGAATGAAGAAGTAGATGTTTCTGCTTGATAATGTTTTTACAGTGATCGTTTGATGGCAACTTATTCAATTTTGATACATTGACACTACTAAGATGGATAGTAGCCAAATTATTAAAACTTTCTTTCTTACAGGATTGTGGAGTGAGAAAAAAGTTAAGATAAATGCCCAATCCTTTCATTTCAAAGATAAGTTCACCGCATAACCCTACTATTTTCCACGAGCGTTATGTATTCATCCCGCCATGTTGCAGACCAGAGAAGAGCTGCGGGAAGCGTTGGAGAAGGAGGTGAGGTTGTTCACGTCAGACAGGGATCTGCCAGGCAACGTACTGATCGCTTGGAACCACAGTGAGTTTGAGGTTGTCTACCGGTCACTGGCTGACGAGGTCTGCATTGACGGATACTACCTCAACCTCATGTTGGAGCTCAACTCTGTGCCGGAGACTCTGACAAGAAATGCGTGAGTAAAAATACAGATTTTGTATCCACGCCATTGGCGTTTTTTTGTCTTTTGTAATGGTACCCGGTGTTGTTACTATCTAAATTTTTTTTTTTTTAATTGTTTATTTGAAAACTGTTAAAAACCACATAGTTATACTAGAAATAACAATTTTTTGAGAATCTAGCCACAGATGTTTCACAATGGACCCTGTTACCAATGCATTCAGGTAGAAAACAAATTATCTTTCTATTTCACAAACGAGTCTTTGAATGTAAACTATTTGAAATAGAAACCCTCAGAAAAATTTATCTAGCTGTACCCTTACAATATGAAATACATTTTCCCTTTTTTGTTTTTTTCTCAACTGTAATATTCTTGTGCATATTCAATCTATATGATATGTAAATTATTTAAAATTAATGATTTGTATTGACATGTAGGGGTGATGCATCGAATCGAGATTCTATTCAGTGGTGGTCAAAAAACAATCCAATTCATGGGGGAAACGGTATCCATATACGAAAAACGCCTGCAGAAAGTCAATGCAATACCCACAATACAGGAGCGCGTTGTTGGTGCGTTTTCTTTGTGAAGGCGTTTCTATTTAATTAATTCTTTGCATGTAAATATTGCTTTAGTTGTTTTATAATTTTTAGTTTTGACATTGCAAATGAGAAGTTTTGTTATAAGTGTAAGCAGTGTGAGACATTATTTACTACTGTAAACATAGCCAAAACAAGTCACTCCAAAATCGTTCTAAAAATAACACAAGTCTGAAATATCGTTACTCGATACGTAACTAGTAAGACTGATGTTTAGAGTGATAAATTTGGCATTTTTGTAGGGCTGAAGCTATTTATACCTTGTAGTTTGTAGGTCTGATTATATCCTCTCATTTTATCTACATTGATAACAATTGAAACTTTCAGTATAAATCTTACAAATGTTTTTATTTGTTTACACCAAAACATACCTTTTGTGAAACCAATATTATAAAATAAGGTAACATGCTTAACAATATGACTCTGAAAGTAAAAATTATGAAATATGCAAGTAAAACACCTCACTGACATTTCCAGCAATACAGGTTCTTCTAACATATAATTGAAAATAAATATTTTTTCACCTAAGAATCATTTATGTCATGTGTATGAATAGGCCTAATACTACATCAACAAAAATTTGCATTACACAAATGTGGTAAATTTTAATTATTGTTATTTCACTCCATTGACAAGTATGAATAAAAAAATGCCGTACTGCTTCGAACCAAAATCTTTTGCTGCTTCGCACACCCCTATTGAAATGTCACATATCCATTGAGTTAAACTGTTCTTTGATAGTATATTTTTTTATTCATATAGCCCAATGACAAATAGTATGGAGTCCAGACTCACCCTCCTTTGGAATCAAAACCCACAGCCTTCAGATTTGAATTAGACACTCACTAATCCGGCAAGAAAAAGTAAATTGTTAGAAAGAAGATGTTATTCTGTGTTTCCTCTAATTTTAGCAGTAATATAAAAACTAAATAAAACCAAATTAAAACTTCACTCCCAAATTAAATTGAGTCAGTTTATTTAAAGTGCAGGACCATCGTATGCTAGATCAGCGGCCTACAGTACTGAATCCTTTGTGACACTTGATTCACTGTTTACAGGAAGAGTTTCTTCAACAACCTGTACCACAAGTTCCTGATCAACCCAAAGATTGAGATGAAGGTGACGTGTATACAAGTTATGACTCTCGTTTACGGTCACTATCATGAGGACATCGGACCGTTCAGTGACACCAAGGTCATAGTAGGGATGCTTGACAGGGTAGGTGTATAGTGTGATAGTGATGAACATTAGTAGTTCTAACCATAGAGAAGTAAGTTACAGAGGAATCAGGTTATGAGACAACTGTACGCTTCCAGCTTGTATGTTGTAGGTACTCGTTCCGACCGCATGCTTCACTTTCCTAAAGTGAGGCTTGAGGTTGGAAGAAAGTCATTTTCTTATTTTGGCCCGCAGTTGTATAATGGCCTCTCTCAGGACATAAAGAGCTCCAAATCATATGGTTCATTCAGGGCCGCAATGTAGAAAAACAAATGTAAATTGTAACTGTTTTTTATTTGTAGTTATTTTGTATATTATATTTCTGTATTTGTTAGTTTAGTTTTAGTTTGACTTGAGTAAGTTTGAAAATCATGTATATGAAACTCGCTTGCAAATAAAGGCCTTTTTATTTATTATTTATGTTGTGACGGAAATATACTTGTGACGAGCAAGGATCATCCTTTAAACTTGTGTGTGGGTGAGTGAAAAGGAAAAGCATTGTGACAATATATGTCAAAATTATTCATGGTGAAGGTAGCAAATCGACAAAAAAGCAATCATCTTCATTTAACAGTAGTTGAGTAAAGATTCTAAACACTACGTTGCACTAAGCATTGTTCTAATCATTGTTGGTCTCCAGTGTGTGGACAGGACGGAGAGAGATCGTCTGCTGCTGTTCCTGGGCAAGCTGATTCTCAACAAACAGAACGTGAAGGCGGTGTTAGACGCACATGGAGTGCAGATACTGGTGGATCTACTCACTCTAGCTCACCTACACACGTCCAGGTATTCAACAACTTTTATTCTCTACCTTTCAGTTGTTGTTAAAAGATGAAACCTTAGGGAAACCAAAAAGAGTTAAGTAACACGCTTATGGGGCAATCGAACACTTTTAGCTCTGGTATGTTGTGCCGGAAATATATTTGTGACGAGCAAGGAAGAGCCCAAACAGCGAGCACTATGGGTAAATTCCTATCGCACAGGGCATGGGGTCTTCCTCCGTGAGCGTTTTAGTACATGAGGGAGAGGGAGGCATTGTTGGACTTAGCCCTAGACACCAGCGACTAGTGTTAGACACCACTTAAGTGTACCAGATTGGAGTGTATTCATTGTTCTTTACTTCTCAGTGTTGAGATTTAGTCAAACATAGAGATTAGCTAAACTAGTAGTTTTCCATCTAATTTTTAATGGAATCTGGGTTGCAAGCTAACCCTTTAGAGCTCAAAGCTCTTCAACATACCCTCTCAATAAGTCCTGCACTAGGACCAATTATTGCTGTAATGTTATTCTTTTTTTTTTTTGAAAAAAGAATTTGTCCAAGGAGGCAGGAACTAACTTCTTCCTGTGACTATAGAAAGAACTAGATTAATTCCTGTGTAAACATTTTAGCCAGTTTTTGTAGGAGAATGAATAAAGTGCTGTATACACTGACTTGTTTAGCTATCTAAACTTAAACACAGTTACTGTTAACTATGACATCTTGACATCTTTTATCAAAGTATTGAAAACTAACGGAGGAAATAGAATTTTGACAATAGCATACTCTATGAGTGACTCATTCGATTAGATTAAATTTGGAAGAAAAATTACCTTTTGAGTAGTGAGTCCATGTGGATAAATTGTCTACTACTTCTTCAGTATTTAGCCAATACCTATTCCTTCTTCCTTCCATAAGAAACCTCTTTGGAGGGGTGAAATGTAAAGTTGATTGTCCTGTTTTGTAAACTTTCTATATTATCGACAGCCTAAAATTATTTTCATTAATGAGATAGCTGTATATCTGCTGTACCTTCTTTTCTCGGTGTTAAATGTGAAGTTTCCTGTGATGTCCTGGGAAATTAAGCCCAACTTTACCCTCTTTCAAAAATCTACTCAAATATAACACAATAGTTTGTATCACCATCACTGCATCCACTACTTCATATTAGGGGAGCGAGCTGGTCTAGTGGTTATTTATTTATATTTTTTTTCTTAGTACGCTAGCCTCAATCCTAGGATTGTTTTTCACATTACTTCAGGCTAGACCTAGGGGTTGCGGCAATATCACTTAGATAAAATCCATTGGTGATTCAGTGAATTTGAACCCAGGACTTCCGAGACCGGAATCTCGCACTCTAACCACTAAACCAGCTTGCACCCCACCAAATCACCAATAGATTTTATCTAAGTGATAGTGCAACCCCGAGGTCTAGCCTGAAGTAATGTAAAAATCTACTTCATCCACTGAAGTATTCTATATTGTCACATGTATGTGAGTTGTTTTTATATGGTTTTGTGTACAATCTTTGTGTCCTGATTGCAGGGCCGTGGTGCCTACCCAGACTAATGTGATAGAGGCTGGACAGGGGATGAGTCAAGACAACGAGAAGGAGTGGTACTACAGTGTCGGAGCAGAGAAGAAAGGACCGTTCACTTTCCAGAAGGTACTTGTCTACGATTTTATTTTATTTAGTTTTTTAACGATTTTCATTTACTGTCACCTTCAACTACTTGACTGTGATGGTGACGTCGTCCAGTAATCCAGCTACTATAGTTCTCGCCACCCTAACTTGAGGCAGCCCAAGGCCGCAATAGATATACGGCGTGCGGCCTTGGGCTGCCTCAAGTCAGGGTGGCGAGGACTATAGGAGGTCACCAATTAATTGTGGAAATTTTGTAGGCATGCACTGTGGATGCGATGCTCCCTGGTGTGGATTAACGTCCGTACTAGTGAGTACTACGACTACCCGCAGTGCTATCCTGTTAATTACAAGGAAACAATGTGGTTCGGATTCCACTATAAATTGTAGATCTCTTAGTTGCCATTGGCTGTATGGGAAATTAACAGCTGTGTCTAAGGAACATGTCGGCCTTAGTCACTAACAAGACTACAAGATCACACCACTTATCCTACACTCTTATTTGGGTTAAGCACAAAGTAGCGTCCTCATCTTAAATAGTTGATTGGATTGACCTTTGAAACCCCATACAACGCCATGAAACACTTTAATCAGGCAAATGAAAATTTGCTTAGCCTGCAGGATTGCTGCAGCTTATCTCTTATATCTTTGGCAGATGAAGGAGCTGTGGTCCAGTGGGGAGTTGACCACCAAGTCCAAGTGTTGGGCGCAGGGGATGGACTCGTGGAGACTACCCCAGAACATCCCTCAGATCAAGTGGTGTCTGTTGGCCAGAGGGTCTGCAGTGCTCAATGAGACGGAGCTGGCCACCGTGATACTCAACATGCTCATCCATATGTGCCAGTTCTACCCCAGCAGGTGATATATAACAGAAGAAGGGGATACGGTATGTGTTGAAAAAGGGAGTTTCGCTGGCTTAAGCCTATCTTGAAAGACCAGGGTTTAAAAGGTACACTATAGTCATATACATTACTTCAATATTTTTTCCTGATACATTGTAATTCCAGCTATAGGAACTAGGGGTCTGCGGTACAGAAAATTTAAGGTCGGTACGGTTCGGTACGGTACAATATTTTGTACCTCGGTTCTCGGTACAAAATCGGTACGGTACGCGGCTACCCGTATTGTTGCGGTTTTCTTCTCAGAACTGTATCCAAACCATTTTTAACTTTAATACATAGACATTACTATGAAAATGGATAGTATCCTACATTCATGGTTTTCTAACAACAATTACTGTACCACATATTATTAAAACAAAACCTTTTACTACTACGAGGATTGTGTCAAGAAAAATCACAGTTGAGATAAAGGCTTTACCTATTTTACTCTGAGATACTTTGAATAAAGTAGTTTAAAAATAGGATGAGAGTTTTTATGAATAAACATGTTTGAAAGTAACATTTATTGACAAGATAATTTCACAAAACTGATAAATTATTTCCAACCAACACAATGTCTAGTTGTTTTTTTTTTTTATTTTAAAACATATAAAAGCATTCAGTAGAAGACAGTGTAGTTTTGCCAGCTGTTCACAGCAGATGACAATGAAAAACTGGAGGTTATGATGAAGTAATGGCAAAGACCATTTTTTTTATCAGCTTCAAAACTAGTTAAGTTATAAGATGGATACAATTCTTGCAAAGTTTTTTTCTGAAACTAAAATTTGGATTATCACAGAGTAAGATTTGATGTTGGGCAATTAGACTTTATAACTGTGTAAAAGATGTGTATCCCTGAATTTATAAATTGCATTCTACACTTATTCACTGCCAAACATAATTCAGTAGAACCTTGATGAACCGAGAATTACACTAGCCTACATAACTTCACTACCCCAAGTAAAATACCAAGATAATCCTTATAATTGTATTTGAATCGTATAATCTTAGTTTGTTAAAAATGGATTGTATGTTCCACAATAATTGCAGTCCATTATTGTTAAGCAGTATGGTCCCAAATTATTGTTTTTGATTTTGAAACATCACAGTTCATTTGACAAAATTATAGTTGAAGCAGCTCAATGTCAAGTCACGCACGCTTGTGCAATAGTTTGTTTACAAGCTTTCTCCAGACCACGGGGGAGGGGAGGGTCTGATAAGCCGTCTATTGTTCACCCCCAAGAAGGTCCGACCCTCATTAGTGCCGCTCGGCTGCACTCACTGGGGAACCCAATACCACAAATCAATCTTTTAACCCTCCCAGTGTTACTTGACGAAAATTCGGCAAGCACCACACTTTGTATAGTGTTACTTGCCGATTTTTCGACAAGCAGACATCGTTTACGGCGAAGGCTCTATAACTGACTGAATCGGATTGAACTGGATCGAGTTAGGTATTGTTCTTTCCGTAATATTCTAAGCTTTCTGCAGAGGTCTGTCTCTAAGCGCTATTCATTTTAGTTCCGAAAATATTGTAGCAGACAGCTGACGTGCGTGTATTTGTAAACAGCTAGGTTCCCCCGGACCGATGACTGATGTGTTTTATTACGTTTATCATTGTTTTAGTGTTAAAAATCAAAAGTAGTGATATACGTGGTGCATTATAAGAAGATTTAAGTGGTTTTGAAGTGCTGGTTGATGATCCTGAAGAAGTAGGTAGTGATATTGATGTAAATTATCAGCCAGATTCCTAGCTATGGTTAGGCTATGCATTCTTAGCTAAACGCTATGTACTGAAATCAGTTTTTTGCCCATTACTTATTTATTTGCTAATATACTTCCTTATATTATTATATATTTGTAATCCTCATAAAATTTAGAACAAAGTGGCTATTTTCAAATATTTATAGGCCTATAATTTATACAATTTCATTGAGCGCGAACTTATTTTTTTTTTGAAAATTTTCGAAATTATATTTTTTTTACCTAAAAATTTTTTTTTTTTGAAAAAATGTTCCTTATGTTTTATATATAATATTGAAGCCCATGATTTTCCAAACAAAATGGTATATAGAACATTAGAATTAACATCGTTTTAAGCTTCTCAGATCCGTTTTAATAAAACCTTGCAAATGCGCCAAAAATAGGTGGACATTAAGGCCTAAACTATGGACACTTGGAGGGTTAAATGAATACAAATATTTGGTAATAATTGTTTTATTAATATTCACTTTGAAATTTCAATAAATTTGGTGTAAAATTTGACAAAAATCTGCCATTTGGACCGATTATTAATACAATACCAAATACCAATAAAGTAGTACCGTACATTCATTGGTAATTAACTAATACGTAAAAATTTACCGATTTTCGTCAAGTTTTACCCCCTGCTGTGCGCTATGTCACAAAAGCTGATAACGACATGGGTGATTAGTAACCATGGCAACTTGTTGAATGCGTGATGAAGGGAAACCCAAGAAATAGAAGAACAAAGAGAAAGAATGACGTTGTTATCTTTATACCCTTTTTACAATTTCCGTTATTGTTATCTTTATGTAAGATTTTATGATTTTGTTTTATAGGTTTATAAAATAATTCTTTTTAACTACGGGAATATCAATTTATAATTTATCAACGTGCTTCTCTTCTGAAACAGCAATACCGGATGCATAATAAAGGTCAATGGCCTAAAATATCACGATTGTGCAATATTGTATTTTGATGTTGAAATTAAAATTGACAAAAGTTTGTATATATCCATGGTCGTCAATAGAAAGATAAAATATCCATAACAAATATTTAATTTATAAAATAAGATTGTAGATTTGTTACAAGTTTAATATGTAGCCATAAACAGTTTTATGGCAGTAGGCAATGGCCAGCGGCAAATTCAATATTTACGAAAATACTGATTAAGTTAGAGATAAAATTTAACAGTCATCATAAAACTATTATTTTTATGATAAAACAGAATTGGAGAAAGTCGTAAAGAAATAAAAGTGATAAAACTCAACAGTTCTTGGAAGTACTTCAATACAACAATTATTGTCGTGATAAAATGTTAATGGATTTGGGACTGCTAATGGGTTTTTTATTGCATCATCATGCTAGTAATAAATGATGAAGATCGTAAACAAACATCTGATAAGACTTTTATGTGCTTGGAACCAACTGCCGTTGACTACGATAGTAAACTGAAAGTAATTTATTATTATAATAGGCTGTACCGAACCGAATTTGTACCGTGTAAAATGCTGTACCGAACCGATGACGGTAATTAAGCTTGTACCGTACCGTACCGACTTTTTCGGTGCACCGCAGACCCCTAATAGGAACAAATCAATAGGAACTGTAGCAAGACTCAAGAGTTTTATTGCCATTGACCTTTGTACAAAGGAAAAGGAATAGACATAGTCAAAACGCATACAAAACATTCCAAAATATTAAATAAAATACAAAGTTTACAAAATACTTAGTTAATTAAAATATGACATGTCTAGAGAATATGGATCATGTAGATACACATCAATATTCAATATTAACTTTTGTTTTAAGAAATTCATGGATGCCATAGAAAGGATTGTGAACCATTCACATAAATTAGATTTGAATATCTTGAAGGAGACAGTTCTGGCTGAATCAGGCAATTTATTTAAAAAATTAATGCAGTTTAGTCTATGAAGATTGTTACTCTTTTTAATTCTATGAGCCGGTATGTCTAACTGTAGTATTTTTGTATAAATGTCCTCTTAGAACAGTATTGTGATTTTTCCCCTTAATGTGGAAAGTGGACAGTAGGGGTGGTCGAGTTATAGCTATTCTAGTATTACTTGAGAAGTAAAAAGCTTATGTGCCGAGACTGAGTAATTAAAGTACACTAGAGTCGCGCAAACTCAGCGTATTGTGGACTGGAACGGTGCCGAGTTTGTGAGATGCCGTGTTATCGGGAACTAGAATTAAAAATAATAACAATACAATTTTTAAGCGTTTTATCGGCCTTTTTTATTTATATTTATATTACAAGTCAGTATTAAGTCATCAGATATAGTTCAACAAATCCTTGTTACAAGTTGTGAATGATTTGATTTGACTTGATCTGTCTTGAGTCCATGTTTAACACGGAGTTAAAAAATCACAAATTTTCTGAGCCAGGTGATGGCCGAGTTATCCAGACTGTCGGGTTTTTGAGTGTCGAGTTTGCGGGACTCTTCTGTACTCGCCAAAGTATAGCTATGCAAGTCTAGTTATTTAATTATTACTAGGATAAAAACGTTGTCCTAAACTCCATTTGACAAAACAATAGTAATTTCATTACGTCTATTAAATTTCTTTATGATATTATGGTTGTAGAGATCAAGACGAAGCTGTGATCTGGCCGATACCTCGCATCAAGAGGATACTGACGAGTGACCAATGTCTGCCTCATGTGGTACAACTGCTGCTGACCTTTGACCCCACACTAGTGGAGAAGGTACCTCGCTCTAGCTTGTTACTAATCATATGAAATAATTAGGCCTACTGTCAGGGAAAAAAGTTTAGACACTCGAGTTTGGAGCTCTACAGAAAAGTAACCAACTAACTTAGAAAAACACGTAGTATATATAAATTTTTGTTGTTTTATTCTACGTATTCCTGTGAAAACAAAAATTTTTTAGCTCTTTTAGGAAATTTTTTATGACAGTCGGAAGGTAAAAACTGCCTGTTTTTAGAGTAACAAAAACCATCTTATGACTTTGAAAATTCGCACAATGTAAACTAAACGGCAGAACTTTATCAAACTTTAATACAATATGGACACATATATACTGAACTAATTTGTGTAGTTTCAGAATTTTTACCCTACCCAAAAACTTAGTTAGTTTTTGTTGTAACTTTTGTAAATCAACTTTTCTGTCAAAACTGAACAGCAGTTATTATTAATTATTAACCATTTCCCATCACCTTTTCTAATGAGGGTTTTGGACCTCCATGGTCACTCCCACACTTCTAAAAAAAACATATAGCACTGACAATCATTGCATATTCCGAATCTGACAATTTAGATTTAGCACCCATATTTGGGGTGGTAATACTTTCGACCCTTTGGAAGAATGTAAAACATATTTCATGTGAGTCAGTCAGTGACACACACTGTGTGAATCACCTTACGCTCGGTCAAGGTCCATCGTGGCAACACTGCACTGGATTCCTGAGTGGGTGATGGCGTCTGCACCCCTTGCAAGCGCGAGATCATCCAGTTTTTTGTTAATTTATATAAATAACATGCGTAACAATTTGGTTGATCAGTATCGATATTTCAAATACAAAACCAATCACCTCCAAAACAAGCTTTTAATTTTTTTTCTAGCGTTTGCCGTTTTTGAGAAAAAGTTGATTTACAACAGTTACAACAAAAACTTTTTGGGTAGGGTAAAAATTCTGAAACTACACAAATTAGTTCAGTATATATGTGTCCATATTGTATTAAAGTTTGATAAAGTTCTGCCGTTTAGTTTACATTGTGCGAATTTTCAAAGTCATAAGATGGTTTTTGTTACTCTAAAAACAGGCAGTTTTTACCTTCCGACTGTCATAAAAAATTTCCTAAAAGAGCTAAAAAATTTTTGTTTTCACAGGAATACGTAGAATAAAACAACGAAAATTTATATATACTACGTGTTTTTCTAAGTTAGTTGGTTACTTTTCTGTAGAGCTCCAAACTCGAGTGTCTAAACTTTTTTCCCCGACAGTAGGCTACTGACTTGCGTTACTGGTGTGTGTCGTTCTCAATATTCCTAAATAGTGGTAAATTCAAATGTCAAAAGCAACGTTATACTGCTGAGTTCTGTAGTTTGCTACTGAATGGGTAATTGACACCGGTTTAGGGTTTTATGGGACAAACATCCTTTACAGGTTCGCCAAGACTTATGTTAAACTTTTCTATTCGGAACTTCCGTGTTTAACTTTTTTTTTGCAAGAGAACTGTTCACACTCCTGCTATATTTGAATTATTTTGTCATGATACCTGGACCAGGTTTACATTCTTGCGTAATACAAAAACTTAAAAATTTACAGAAAATTTAGAATGTTTTACTTTCACTGACAGCATTTTTAGTTAAAAGTTTCATTTGTCAAAGAAGGATGTATTGAGGTGGGCGTGATGGGTGGAACATTTTAAGTTATATCAGTAAAATCCAGTACATTCCCATGAATTCTGCTTCGTATAAACCGCATGGATGCCGAGCTTTAGAAATGACGGACTATCAGGAAACATTACCAATTAAATCTGAAACACAGTGATAATATATTACAATATTTTTCATTGATACATTTTTCATTGTGCAGGTGGCCACCCTGTTGTGTTTGGTGGCAGAATACAACGCACATGCTGCCAACCTTTACACTACTGGAGTGTTCTACTTCATACTCATGTACACCGGTTCCAATGTTCTGCCAATAGCCAAGTTTCTGCAAATGACACATATCAAGCAGTCTTTCCGGATGGATGAGGTATGCAGTGTAAAATTTATATTCCCAGTCATAAAGCTGTAATGTACATCACTGTATATGTATATAAATTGACAACAGCTAGTCCATATAGATGGGATGTCTACTTCAGTATCCAATAGTCCAATGTTTTTACTTTAAGTCTTTCACAGTTATGTTCAATTAAGTAATTTTTAGTGAATAACCTGTTAGGGAAGAAGCTATTGCAAGCTATTGGTTAGCATAGGTATCGCTGCAAGACCTAGACTGATTTACATTTTCATTTTGATGTCCCCAGAGGTTAAAAACACTATTTTTGTTATATTTGTTAAATATGTGTGTGTTCCGACTTTGATTAAATTTTGCATGAATGTTTAGGGCTGGATACACTTGAATGATTTCGCGAACCAGCAATATCAGATCATGAAAACAGAGTGAGAAAAACTTTGTCATTCCCGGAAGACCGCTGATCTACACAATGTGACCATGGAAGCGTTATCATGAATACTTTACTTCTGATTCATTAGAATGACAAATCTTTGAAAAACCGTGTTTACTCGAGGCCCGTAGAGCAAGTAGGTTACAGGGCAGGTTCCTTGCGTCTTACTTGAAGCTGACCTATCTGCTAACTAGCTTCGTTCACACAGCTTTAAAGAGCAGGTTTAATCTATTGATTTCACTTTGTAGACTCATTTGAGTTATGTTCCACCAGTTACCTGATACTTGATTGTGTTGTTAGGCTAACTCCTCGGAGCTGATGCAGCGCAGTGTGCTAGGCCAACTGTTGCCTGAAGCTATGGTCTATTACCTGGAAAACCACGGGGCTGACAAGTTTGCCCAGATATTCCTCGGAGAGTACGATACTCCTGAGGCCATCTGGAACTCGGAGATGAGGTCAGTTATGGTTCTGGTGGGAAGTTGGGAGGCTGTAATCTTTGGTATCTTTCAATGCATTTACCTTGCAATAGTATTTCATGTCTAACAACTAACAACAATATTTAATCACAATCATCTCATCTCCAGGTGTATTCTCTTTTGAAGGATTGACCATTTATGAAATATAAGGTTGAATGTAGAAACACAGAATGAATACCTCATAACTCTCACTGAGTCGGAAAAACAAGGTTGAATCTCCTAGTGTCTACATCGGAATCTAGGAGCGCTGCTCTCGGTGGCTCGCAGGCTAGGCTAGACGTGAGGACGGTAGGAAAGAGAACTGATCGCTAGGGATGGACGGGTCCCGAAATTTCGGGAATTTTTTGGGAAAAAAATATTCCCGATTATCGGGACGGGATTACATTTGATTCGGGAATTTTTCGGGACGGGATTTGGTCAGATCGTCGGCAATTTTGCCGCTTCGCGAGTGCCGATGACGCCGCTATTGCGAGCGATAGGTCCGCGAACGCAGGAGACAAAGTCATTTCGACAATCGCGCCATGACCGCGGAGTCCTACCGACGATCGCGCCGTGACCGCGGAGTCCTACCGACGATCGCGCCGTGACCGCGAGTCATACCGACGATCGCGCCGTGACCGCAGAGTCCTACCGACGATCGCGCCGTGACCGCGGAGTCCTACCGACGATCGCGTCGTGACCACAGAGTCCTACCGACGATCGCGCCGTGACCACAGAGTCCTACCGACGATCGCGCCGTGACCGCGGAGTCCTACTGACGATCGTGCCGTGACCGCGGAGTCCTACCGACGATCGCGCCGTGACCGTGGAGTCTATCGACAATCGCGGCGTGACCGCGGAGTCTATCGACGATCGTCTAGAATCTGGTGTAGACACTTCGAAATGCAAACACGACATTATTGTTTTTCAGGTTTATTGCGGACATTTTCCATCACGATTGTAAAAAAAACAATACACAACGTTACGGACAACACAACGGAGGCAACATTATTATTGGCTCAGTGATACTTTTGGGAGAATACTTGTCTACAAGCAAATAAATACAAATAACTCTGAAAAATATACATTACTTGGCTTTACACCGTAGTGTGCACGAGTATGGTTGCGCCACAAGTACTGTGTTCTGGGTTCAACTTGAATTTGTTTACGTCAAAATAAGATATTGACTTCAACGGAAAGCTATTTAATTAATGTCCTAGCTGGTCCATGCTTATCATATGACTACATCAGTACCTTAAGACAATGATATATCCAGCTGATCAGAAAATGTATTTACAGGAGGTTGCTGATAGAGAAGATAGCGTTACACCTGGCAGACTATTCCCCCCGTCTGCGGGGCAACACCAGAGCCCCGTACGGTTACATCGCCATCCCCGCGGTCAGGTATCCCCAGCTGGAGCATGAGCTTTTCTGTAATATCTACTACTTGCGACATCTGTGCGACACCAAGCGGTTCCCCAATTGGCCCATTAAGAACCCGGTGAGTTTTTTTTACACACCCTGTTTTTATTGTTGGTTTATTTAGTAGTCTTTTGAGTTAAAATTGTATGTTTAGCTAATAGTCTTTTGAGTTAAAATTGTCTGTTTAGCTAATAGTCTTTTGAGTTAAAATTGTCTGTTTAGCTAATAGTCTTTCGAGTTAAAATTGTCTGTTTAGCTAATAGTCTTTTGAGTTAAAATTGTCTGTTTAGCTAATAGTCTTCTAAATTAAAATTGTCTGTTTCGCCAAGTGTTTATTAATGCTCATTTCAAATTTGGATGCTGATTTGATCTTAAGTTGAGTTGATGGTGGATGCATATGTCATTTGTCATTTGGCTGTAATGGTGCTTTCTTACTTCAAGTTCAATGTTAGATAGTGATAGAGTGTTTGGAGTACGTTCCTCTAACAAAAAATTAAAATACACACACACATAATAATGTTCACTCTGCTTTACAATTTATTTATTTTTGTTAACTTTTTTATCAGATTGGGATATATCTGGTGTCTTAGAAAAGAGCGAGTTGTCAGAGATATTAAATTTATCGATAAAACTGGTCTTTAGCAAAACTCTCTATTATTGAACCAACTTTGTGATATTTCACCAAAAGGATGTAAAGCATGATGTGCAAATAAGGTCAAATTATGAGAGGAACATATTTGTATACAAAGATAATCAAATAGATACTTCTCGATACAAACACCATTAAGCAAGTAGACGAACCAAGGAGTCCTTATAGATTAGTGAAATCCTACCAGGAAATGTTGCTCTACTAACAGTTTTTAGTAAAAATGCTGTCACAAGGTTGGAGCTAACTTTAAAACTTGTAAGGATAGAAGAAGACTTGTAATCCACAGTTGTGATCCTCAGGTGGGGCTGCTGAAGGATGTACTTCAACTGTGGAAGGCGGAGGTGGAGAAGAAGCCACCGGAGATGTCAGTCGATGACGCGTACGAGGCGCTGGGACTAGCAAGGGGGCAACACCACGAGGAGGCACTTGTACGCAAAACTTACTACAAGCTCGCGCAGACTTACCATCCGGACAAGAACCCAGAAGGAAAGGTAAGAAGATTTTAAGTCGTTTGGGTGCTCTTCTACCTCTTATGGTGTTTACTGCTTTTCACATTTTATTGTTCATTTCTACTATCTACTACTATAATTTCTGTATTTCTCGCTTACATGTTTATAGCCAACTTAATCTAGTCAGTTTTAAAATGTCTAGTCACCATGTACCTGATATGTAATATTTTACATGTAATGTACCTGTCTTCATAATTTAGCGTGGTCTATTACTGTATTTCATGACCATATGAAATTTACTACTGTGGTTCAACGACCAAATAAAGAATCTTATCTTGGATCTAGTGGGTCATATTCATGAATGACTTGACTTTTAAATTCAATTTTTAAAAGGAGAGGGAGTACAATTTAATGTTTGATACACTAAACAGAAATGGAAAAGATTTGACATTGAAATGAAATGACATAGACAAACTCTACTTTAATCAACAGTTACGTTTTCTACTAAAGGAGCAAGTAAATCCTTATACAAATTCAAATCACACACAGAATAAAGAGGTATTTACCAATTCAGCTTGCACCTAGCCTATTTCTAATGATTCGTGGTTGGTTTCAGGAAACTTTCTTGTCTGTGAATCGGGCATACGAGTTTCTCTGCAGCAACAAGCAGTGGACAGAAAATGGGCCAAACCCTCATAACATTGTGTTGATTCTACAGACACAGAGTATTTTGTTCCACAACCATTCTACGGGTAAGTGTTATTTCATAGCAAAGTCTTTTCCAACCTTAATTCTTAGTAGTGGCAGTGTTGAAAATTGTCCCAGAAGGAGAAGTTTGTGCTTACCACTCTGACAAAGTGGTCAGACTCACTTGTTCGTGAGTCGGTGGCTCAGTCGGTAGCGTTGCGGACTTTGGGCCCAAGGCAGCGATGTCGTGGGTTCGGATCCTGGTCACTGCCACTAAAGTTTATCAGTACAGTTCACCTTTGTACTGTACCGGCTCACTCCTTGCTTTGCTGTAAACGATCCACGCACGGGCGCTTAGTCTGTGTGGACGGGCAAATGCAAGGTTAAAAGGGGCCGCCAACCTCTTTTTTGAAAAAAAAGAAGACTTATTACGTTGAGTTGATAATAAAATCATTATGGTTACGAATATTTTGAATGTGGTACCCCCGTATACATGGTATTTGAAGAAAGTATTGTTTTTGTTAACCTTTTGTGAGATTAAGCTTTAGGTGGGAATATTAATTTTTGGCCCACCTTGACCAATGCTTAAAAATTGATGTCCCTGTGTGTCTGGATGTGGGTACTAATCTATAGTGTCTGCAAGTATTTTTTTTATATTTTGAATTTAAATAAAATAACGGAACAATTACCTAATTTTTTACAAAAACAGCCTGAAACATTTTGATAAACATTTAACATGTTATAGTACTTTTACCTCTGAACAAAACTAAACAATACCCACTGTTGTTAAAATTACAGTTCAAAAGTTATTGCAACTTTTGTGATTTTCCCTATAAAATAAAGTAACTCCCACCATGTACCCATGATTAAGGTTGTTGACAAGGTAATGGCTAAGTATGGGTCAGATTGCTGAAGCCGTTTTTTTCCGTATCTAAAAGTCAATAGTAAAACTAACATGTGTTGCATCCCTCAGAGCTGCAGCCGTACAAGTACGCAGGATATTCTCAGCTGATCAAGACCATACAGATGGAGACTGCTGATGCACAGCTGTTCTCCAAGCCTGCAATGTTGTTGTCTGCTGCCACTGAGTTGGCTCATCACACCATCAACTGCTCTGTACTCAATGCAGAGGAACTCAATAGGGAAGGAGGCTTTCAGGTGTGATTGTGTTTATGCGTTTTGAAAATTCTTTGCCTTATGTGTTAACAACACAATACAGTGTGCTTTTATTATGTACGTAATCCTTCCATGCACGCTTGGAAATAGGTTGGCAACACTTAACGATACTACGACTACAACCAGCTGTGTATGTTTCCCATTCCGTTCAACGCTTGGATTTAACCTAACCTAAAACGTGTTGTTTAGTGTTTGAAAGACTAATTATTTCTATGCTTTATAATAAATGTAGGAAAAATATAATGTGTAACACGATTGCAAATTGCCTTTGATGCACACGAAAAAATTTCCACACTTGCCTAGGGCTTGTGCGTAAACATTTCTCTCGTTTGCAGCAAAGTGCCACTTCGCTCACAAGTTACACAAATAACTATTTCTTAACTGTTTTGTTGTTAATTTTATAATGTGTCTTGGAAAAAATTTTGGTGGAAATTACCAATCAATAAATAAATCTTTATTGTCACATAACGTTTACAGAATATAGCAATGCTATAAAACAGGTGACATTGTCAATACAGTATACAAATACCTTAAAACTAAGGAGTTATAAAAGAATAAAATAAACTAATGCTATGAAAATAGAAATAATTGTTGTAGTCAAAATAGATAAACTTAAACATTGCATTTAAAATACCAAATAATTACACATCTTGATCACATAAAAACTCATCTATACTATAATATGTTTTCCTTAAAAGAAAATTAGTAAGGCTGCTCTTGAAATGCTTAGACTGTATTCTGTTTTTGAGCTCTTGAGACAATTTATTAAAAAACTTTTTGCCCATGTATGTCGGAGTTTTTTCTACTAATGAAAGACGGTGCCGCGGATATTGAAAATTATATTTAAACCTAGTATCGTACTTATGCTTGACATTTTCACTAGATAATTTTTCAAAATTTCCCTCCACCATCAAAAGTGTTTTAAAAATGGTTAAACTCGGAACAGTCATTATCCCTAATTCTTTAAAAATAGGTTTACATGATGTTCTCCAAGGAGCAAATATCATTATTCTTAAAAACCTTTTTTGTATCTTAAAAATTAAATCAATGTTTGATGCAAAACCCCAGAATTCAATTCCATACTGAAGAATTGAATAGAAGTATGCATAATATAACATCAAACGAGTTTTTAAGTCAATTGTGTTTCTTAAACATATCATTTGATAACATGCCGAATTCAGTCTACTAATCAAATTTTCAATGCTTTTGTTCCAATTTAAATTTGAGTCTACGTACAATCCGAGAAATTTTGCATCATCTTGAACACATAAATTTTGGTCACTAAACTCTCTTGCCTGAGCAGTACAAAACTTTACCAATTGGGTTTTATCTTGATTCATTTTTAAACCGTTAATATTGAACCACCGTTCCAATTCCGATAGGGCTTGTTTAACTTTGAGAGATAGTTCTGAATCAATGAGTAACTGTTACATGTATCTCCCTTCCTACTACTTAGTTAGATTTTATCCATCACAGATCAAAAGTACTCAAGCTAATTTAACACATGTGACATTTCACAGGTGCTGCTAGCTGCGTTCTCTCGATGTGTGTCCGTGCTGAGTCGCTCGTCCGCACAGAAAGACATGAATGTGCAGGTTTGCACTCACTGTGTCCGCTGCTTCAGCGCGGCCGCTCAGTTCCCTGCCTGTCGTGATACATTTGCCAAGCTCCCACAGCTTATTGAGGACTTGGTCAGGATTTTCCATTTTAAGGTGAGTTTTAAATTTAAAGTACGATCTTTGAATTCTTTGATTCTTCTCATGACTTTGAAGGACGCAACAAAAGTAAAATAAATAAATAATAAATATCCTCATACAATCCATAATAGAAAAAACCGGAAAGGCTAACAGCTGTTAATTCTGAGTTAAGTTTGAGTTTAAACTTAGGCTTTTGGTGTCTTATTGTCAGGTTGGGTTGAGCCAACAATTGTCCTGAGGGATTGCTTCAGGCCAAGAATAATTGTCTAGTTCGGGTTGGGTCGAGCCAGCCGTTTGATTTTGCGACCACAGGAAACATCTGCAAAGGTGCATAATTAAAAATTGATGAATTTAATACCATCGTGTGTGGTTTGCACAGTTTTTTTTTTTTTGTTTTTTTTTGTGATTGTGGGAAACATTGATGATGTTGTCAAACCGCAGAAGGTGTTAACGAAAGTTCAGCGTGACCGGGGAAGATGTTTACAATTCCGCCTTGACTTGAGAAGATGTTCTCGATTTCTTTGTAACCGCAGAATACGTTCTTGTTTTCACTTAGACCACATAAGGTGTTCTTTGCCATGACTGCGAAAGATGTTCATGTATTTGCTGTGGTAGATGTGGACAATTTCACTGCGTAGTGGGGGAGATCATTATCAGTAATATATTGCATTTAAACTAGTTGTAGTACTGTATTATTACAATATTTATAAACAACTTTCTAATGTAACTTTATTTTCGCCCGAAACCTGACCCGAAGTAAAAATTCTGGTCTGCAGACCCCTAGCTTTTTATGGACCAATTCTGTAAGTGTGGTAGACCAATCGGATCAAATTATTGACTAGGCTGTCTAATTCATTGTGTCTCCAGCCAGGAAACCACTTTTTAGATTGGATTGAATCCTGTCTCGATCAGGTTTGGTGAAACAAGATATATTTTGTTCATGGTTTTACGTAAAGGAATTAAGATTTACTGAAATGAAATGGAAAAACCCTTGGACTGATGCTAAAGTTTAATATATTATTTTTACAGAACTTGACCAAGCTGTGTTCTGAGGTGGTTGTGTGTGTGAGGAACCTAGCCGCAGACCCCAGACTACAACAGAGTCTACTAAACAACGGAGTGTTGTGGTATCTTCTCACATTCATGTTCTCCTACGATTACACTCTGGAGGAATGTGGGGTGGAGAGGTCAGAGGACGCTAACAATCAGGTAATGAAAAGGTTTAGATTACCTGTTGCCTCAATTGATCGTTGTTGTTATAAATACAGCTGTTTTGTGCTACTAAGAGCACATCTCGAGGTTAAGAGCATCAACACACTATTCTCATTGATGAATTAGGTCGTCAGCTCTATATATTACTCTTCTAGGACACACAAACACATACAAAAACGACATTTATAAAACAAACACCTAGTAGTCAAAACACAAGGTGCATTACTGGTAGTCATGACTAATCATCTACTGGTAGGTAATGCACTTTGTGTTCGGACTAACTGGCCAAGTTACAATGGAATTGTACTTTTTTTTTGAAACGAGATTGGATGGATATTATTTTCTTCCAAATTATTTAGACAGGAAATATAATGGATTTTTCTTCCCATGCAACAAGGGAAACTTTAATTGGTTTCACTTCTTATAACTTACAGTCCACTCTTGGTAATTCAAACACTTGATAATTCAAAACTTTCGATAATTCAAAATGAAGGCTCAGTCCCTAGAGAATCTCTCAATATTTCAAATTTTTACCATGCATTTTGATACACTCGGTATTTCAAAGTCCAAATAGAGGGCAGGTAAATTTGTAACACGCAGTAATTTGAAGTTTCGTCGGAAAAACACTCTATAATTCAAAGTAACTCAGTAATTCGAAGTTTCGTTGGTTAACACTCTGTAAATCGAAGTCATGCTGTAATTCGAAGTTTCGTCGAAAAAACACTCTATAAATCAAAGTCACGCAGTGATTCGAAGTTTAGTCGGTAAAACACTCTATAATTCGAAGTGATCTCTTCCTGTTATAACAGGAAACTATACAGTACAGTACATCCTGTTCCCATGGTAGGCTAGTGTTGGACGTTTTGATGTTTGTTTAGTTAGAGCATTAATCTGAGTTAGTTCGCTGACTTGTTTTTCTAAGTTGGCAATCCGATCTCTAGATTGCATGACATCTCCTTGAGCACAAACGTAGTTGTCGACAGCTGATAGTTCAGCTATTGGTGAAATATATAGCGGTAAATAACAGATTTCTTTGCAACTACAGTAACTGAAAAATATGCCGTTGATTGTTTAAAAGTGTACTAAAATACGGTATGATGTTTTATTGTAACGTGCTGTACCTTTGTATGTATTAAACAAATGAACTCTCTGTAATTCGAATGGTTTATTTTTCTCCCGATAAATCTAACTCTTGATAATTCAAAACTCTTGATAATTCAAATTTATATGCTTGGCCCACCAATTTTGAATTTTCAAGAGTCTACTGTATAATGTCATTTCTGTTTGGTTACCACTGTTACCCAGTAGAAAATATATGTGATTACAGCATTATTATTATCTTCCCGCAATTGTAGAGCCATCATAAACCTTTCCGCTAAAATCTGTGATATCTAATGCGATTGTGGATACATGATGGGCACTAGGATTTGTGTCTAAATCATTGACAGTTGGAAAAATCTCGTTCCATGAAAATTTGATGCCATTCAAAGGTCAAAAATATAATTTTTCCTGGATTTTTTAAAACATTTAAGTATCCATTTTTACTTCTGCAGGAGGTGGCCAACAGACTAGCCAAGTTGTCAGTGAGTGCCTGTGCCAGACTAGGAGGCTATGAGAAGGACAGTCCCAACAACGCTGTGGTCAAAAGTATCCTAGGAAAGCTACTGACTCCCTACCTGGCTGGCTTGTTCGCTGAAGACCAACCGGAGAAGGTATTGGCTCTACTGTAAATAATTCCAACCTCAGATAAAAATTTTGTTTGTTGAATGATTGTTGAATGTTGCTGTGTAAATATTCATAGTCATAACGTCTTGAAAGTTATTTTAACATTTCAGTCATAGAATCTATAATTTTTTCTAGTGTAGTGTTGAGAAAAGTAGTTTTTGATACCGTAATTTGAAACTAAACCCAGTTCAACAAGTGGACATACATAGACATAGACATAGACTTTATTTGCACAAAACATTCCATACATGTCATAACATTTAGAATAGGTGCATTGTCAAAATTAAATCCATACATAAAATATTTAACATTAAAACTTTTAACTTAAAATTAAACACTTAAAAAAAATTTCTAAATTGTAGTTCTGTAAAAATCTTCAATTAAGTAAAAAGCCTTGTCAATGGTATTTGTAAACTGCTACAGTAGAATAAGATTAGCCGGATTAATTGTGGCTGGATCCTATCCAGAAAAAAATATATGTCGTTGGATTTTTCAAGAAAAAAATATACAATAAAGTGACACCAGGCAGATGATTAATCGGCTGGCTATAGATGCAACATTACAGTAGATTCGAGCATGTTAGACATGATTGGCTCTCATTAAAACATGCAAGGGATTACTGAAAACTGCAACTTATCCAAATAATTGGTGATTTGGATTATTGGAGTTTTACCGTCTTAATCAGTCACACAACTACACTAGATATTTTTACACACTGCATGTATCTTCAGTTTGTGTTGAAATATTCTTAAATTTGTCCATCTTGAAATGCGACAAAATAATTGTGGTATGAAAACCTTTTTATCGCGTATCTAACGTAATAAAAGTACACATTGTAAACACTAAAATATGTCCAGGTCTTGAAACTTCTAACTAGCAACAGTGAAAACCCGTACTTGATGTGGGACAATACGACACGAGCAGAACTACAAGACTTCCTAGAAACACAATGTAGCCAAAGAGAATACGGACCCCTGACTGATGTAGAGTTTGCCTACTCTAGTCATGCCACGGAGCTGGTCATAGGCAACGTGTTCATCAGACTGTACAACAGTCAGCCAACATTCCCCATCAAGGTAAGTGTAGCAGTTAAACAATGCTGTCTTCAATGCCGGTTTTTTTATAAATCTAAAAAAAGATTTCTACGAGCAAATTCAGCTGTGGAATTCCCTGAGGAGCTTATTTGTCATATCAAGCTAAAACATTGATATCCGAAAGATTTTAGATAAGGCAATTGCTTAAATGTAAATTCAGGATTGATTTTAATTTTAGTGGGTCACATTTCTTTCTCTGTCTTAAATTTTTTAAATATTTATTAAAAACTACTTTGGGGATTTTCCATCCCATCAACTGCAAAAGCTGAATTTGATCTATTCAATGAGAATTTGAGAAGTTTTAATATGTTGATATTTATTAATTACCTAGTGTTTCTAACGCTTTTTTATCGTTTTTGTTGTTGTTTTTTTGTTGTATTTTATGTGTACTTTAGTAATTGGTGGTTTTTATCTCCATTCAACAATTCAGAGAAGTCAAGCATTGTTTTGACTAATCATTTCACAGGTTGAACTTTATGGATGATCAAGGATAAGAGCACAAGGGCTTAGGTTTTCAGGATTGTGATGATAGCAAGCTTACCTGAACGGGAAAGAGTCCAAGCTAGCCTTTTATGGTTGATCGCCTGTTTGGTTTCCCAATTCCTTTCTGTTTCTAGAATGCTAAAGGATTTCTCCTGGATCTGCTGGAGTTTGTGAGGATGAACCAACCTTCGCCAAACGATGAGTCTGACACTGAGCGCAACGACAGAGTGACAATGGCATTACATGCGCTTGGCAACGTTGTCAACAGCAATCCTGGTGAGCAGTTTTGTAAATGTTGTTGCAATTTGTAATTTACTTAACTACCTACTTTACTATCTCAATCGAATCCAAACTTTTTTAATTTAAATCGGACCTTAATAACAGGTGTTTATAAATGAATATCGAGGTGTTAATGCTTTATAACTTTACTCACCGCTATAAATATGAAAAAGCAACTCAAAGAGTTTATGCCTTACACAGCAAATTATTTAACAAAATTGATCCAGTAGAACTGAAGATTTAATTGTACAAAGTTAAAAGGAAATCTCCAACTTTGTTCACCATTATAGTGGTAACCCAGTTGGTCTTGACATTTTAAGGCAGTTTAATAAGAAATTATTACCCTGGTGAAGATGTAGATAAGTTTTTAAAAAGAAATTTGCAATACCAATTAATTACATGCTGCATCTACAGACTTTTCATGTTAGAAATTCCCTCTTAGTTTTGTGCAGAATGTTAACCCTTTCTTACATATAGAACTGTATGTGTTGGATCTTAATTAGTATTTTTTTCCTAACACTATTTTAAACGCATCAAGGAAGGCTGACAAATCCAATTAGAAAACCCAGTTTAAATTATTGTTTTTTCTTGGTTAATCATTGATTAATATTGTACTGTGTTTATGTTTCCTTAAAGTAAAACCTCCAAATGTGTTCTTATTTAGAAACCCAGGATTTGTGTAACCAAGGTATGTTTATTTTTTTTTCCTTTTTTGTTTTATTGTATTTGCTTTCTAGTTGCTTTTTAATTTAGCACATTAGCATATTTGTAAAGCAAGACTTTTTAATTGTTTCACCCAGTATTTGGTAAGGAGACATTTAACTTGGTTTCTGCTACCATATAGACTTTTTAGTTAAATAATTGTTGATTAAATATGCCAGTTATCCTAATACTAAATAATACTAGAGGTTAAGGAGAAAGGAAGGATACACAACTAACTCATCTAAAGAAAGATCCCCAGGAAGTTAAAAGCACAAAAAAGTTACACATTTAACTGATATTTCGTCCCTTTCAGGGACTTCTTCAGAGGTAGTAATATTTGCCTGAAAGCGGTAAAATATCAGTTAAACGTGTTACATTTTTGTGTTCCTGGGACTCTTTCTTGGGGTGAGTTAGTTGTGTATCTTTCTTTTCTCCTTAACAAGCTCATAAAACCAAGCTCCTTTTTCCCCTAAAAAAATTAAATAATACTATAGATCAAAGGATTTCCATTTCGAAAATTTTATGTTGCGCAAATCACAAGCATTCAGTATTTTTTGTAATAAAATACAACTGTTGTATCTTGGAGACCAAAGAGCCTCATTATAATGAAATAAGCTGAAGAAAATCATTTTAAATATTATCACTACTAACATTTAACATTAGGCTATTCCAATAACTTCAATAGGACAAAAATTTGTTAAGAAGCACACTGGAGTTTCCACTGCATACATAAAAGTAATTAGAAAATAGTCGAGTGTTAAGTGATCAGATTTACCAATAATAATGTTTTACATATTAGGTGTAGCTGTGAGACGGACGTTGTGCACATTTTAACTTCTTTTCACACATTATCCTGTACTGTGTCATCCCTATGCTTCACAAGTTGCACACACAGGACTATGCAAACATAGCAAACGATCAAATGAGTTTAAACAACACACCGATCTCTTTGTGATAAAATAATGGGTACTTTGCTATTATACTGACCACACCTATAAATTGACTTCCAAACAAGATTTTAATTAGTTTGAATAACAAAATCTTCCCAACCTAACCTAACCTAACATTGTACACTGTTAGGTTAGGCTAGGCTAGGTTAGGTTAGGTTAGGTTATAATTATTAGATGTGGTCCCGGTCCGTATAATACCAAAGTACCAAAAAATGTTTTCCGCAGGCCTGGAGATGCAGTGTATTGGTCACTTCAGACTGTTGTTTCCTCTGCTCAGCCTGGACTCTTGCCGTCCGATACAACAGTCGACACTGGCCGTGATCAGCGCTGTCACGCGTAATCAGGAGTGTATCAGTGACATCGCTGCCAGCAACGTTTTGGTGAGTATACATTCGCTACAGTTACTACAATGCCTTGTGTTTTTACATTTTTTCTCATTTTAATGATTTTTTTACATATTGTGTCAACTACATATTGTGGATTTTTCCAGGTATATTTGTTCCTAGTTTTATACTCTGTGCCTGATAGTCAGCTGTTGACTCTGGATATCCTCTATGCCTTGGTATCCAACACTGCGGTTGTCAAGGACTTTCTTGCCAAAGGTAATTGTACAATTTTTTTACGGAATTTAATTTTTTCTGGTTTTTTTGTGTTTTTTGTCCCCATCTTCAGCTGGACAAGCTTATTTAAGACTTCTAGGATATATTTAGAAACTGCAATACTATTGGGTGGTAGAAGTTTTAATTAACCATGAAAATTTGTTGTTTGATTTTGATCTGTCATGGGAAGTAGTTTTGATGCACAGATAATTGAAAAAAAATAGCAATAATGTCTAATTTATTTGGCTGAGTGTAAGTTTATGAGTATTTAATGTCATTTCCAACACACTTTATAAAAAGAATTTTCTCTGTCTATCCTATGAAATTGTCCTATGTCTTTACGTGGCAGTGATGTTGGGTCTGACGGGCAAACGAAGTAGATCGGGTGCTGGGTCCGAGCCCGCCAGGGGTATCTGGGGATCTATCGCTCTGGTTATCTCTGGTTTCCCAGCAATGGGTAAGGCCTCGATCGGGCAGCGGTGTAAATGGGAGATTGGGGTTCCGCTGACGGTCCCCTTCCTCCTGGCTATCGATGGCGGGTTCTGCCTGTCAGGGATTAGATAGGTCCCGAGTGTTGCTTGCACTAAATGCGTCGGGGCGCTCTACCATGGACCTCTAGGTCTCGACCTAGTGGAACCCAGGTGGAGTGACGCTTAAACAAGCAGCCGGAATCCCTGGTTAGGATTGAGGGGCAACCCTCCTTCCGAAGGGTCTGCTTCGGCAGCCGGCGAGCCTGATGACCTTAAGTCATCCGCCCATGATGTGCTAAAGGTTGATGCGTAAGTTTCGGCCTACATCATGGGGCCCGGGTATGTCCTAAAGGATAGGTACCGGGTATGCAGTCAGGGGGCTTCGGCTCTCATGACAAAACGAAATGGAAAAAATGTCTTTACGTGTTGTGTGGCTTTACGTGTGTGTCTTTACGTGATCGGGTAGTGGTGTAAATGGGAGGTTGGGGTTCCCCCGTCAGCGTGCTGACGGTCCCCTTCCTCCTGGCTATTGATGGCGGGTTCTGCCTGTCAGGGATTAGATAGGTCCCGAGTGTTGCTTGCACTAAATGCGTCGGGGCGCTCTACCATGGACCTCTAGGTCCTGACCTAGTGGAACCCAGGTGGAGTGACGCTTAAACAAGCAGCCGGAATCCCTGGTTAGGATTGAGGGGCAACCCTCCTTCCGAAGGGTCTACTTCGGCAGCCGGCGAGCCTGATGACCTTAAGTCATCCGCCCATGATGTGCTAAAGGTTGATGCGTAAGCTTCGGCCTACATCATGGGGCCCGGGTATGTCCTAACGGATAGGTACCGGGTATGCAGTCAGGGGGCTTCGGCTCTCATGACAAATAAATAATAATAATAATAATAATAATGTCTTTACGTTAAAATAGCCCAAATGGAAATTAAGAAGTTTCTATTAAATAGTAAATCAGTTCTAAATATTATAATTGATTTTCAAAACTGTTTTTGCCGGAATAGCAGCAAACAGCTCACCCATTATCTTTTTTTTTCAAATCCACCTAAAATTATAAAAACTTTCTGAATATTTCCATAAATTGGGACTATTTTAGTCTATTTAGGTTCTATTACATTACTCCTTCAACAAATGCATAGATTGATGTAGCTTAAAAATATGACATCCAATCGTCGAATGTAGCTGATCAAATTCAATTTTTTTTTTTTTAAATAGGGTGGATTCCAGATTTGACATTGACATCATGTGTGTATTTTTTTAAATCAAAATATGTTGTTTCTCACAGGAGGGTTCATTTACCTACTAGACCTTCTGTTTACTTCCTCATCGCCAGAAACACAAGTGAAGTGTGCTGACCTGCTGGGGCGACTGTGCGCTGATAAATTGTCCGGGCCTCGGGTGCGACTGGCGCTCGACAAGTTCCTACCTCCCGCGATGTGCGATGCTCTGCGTGACAGTCCGTCACAGTGTCCTGGACTACTAGACACAAACCAAGAGAACCCTGAGCTGGTTTGGGACGACGAGTGTCGGAAGAAGGTGGCAGCCGTTATTAGTAATCTAGCTAGAAGGTAAGAGGAGATAATTACGTTGTCTGTTCTGAATTGATATTTTAGTATCCCTTCCATTTCTGTTGTGATTTAATTTTTTTTTACATTGTGTTTGTCAAATGAAGGGTCTTTAACGTTTGCATGATGAAAATTCTTTCTGGACTCAAACAATATAAATTTAAGGATGTAATTTATATGGTAAAGACTTAGTTTTATTTTTTTCAAGAGTTTGTCGGCCTCTTTTAACCTTACATTTGCCCGTCCACATAAGCCTTAGGCTTGTACGTGGAAGGTTCCAGCAAATCAAGGGGTGAGACAGTATAGTACAAGAGTTTATCAGTACTGATAAAAATTATGGCAGGATTTGAAACCTCGACATTGCTGCCGTAAAACCAAAGCCTGACGCACTCCTGACTGAGCCACTGACTCACCAGCTTCCTTTTGGCTTTATTAGTTATCAGATCAAATTTTCTGTCACAGTTTTGTAAGTTATTCTAAAGTCAGTCGATTCAAATATACTCACTAAACAACTATGCGATCAGTTTGAATAAGTTGTCCGGAATTTATCGTTCAACTTTTCTTTTGCATCAGACACTACGTAGCGCAGCGCACCAACCACTCGGCTGTCCTCACATTGCCGGAGACTAGCGTTTTGTGTGCAGACGACGGTAGCAGCAGAGACGTGGTGGTGGGGGGAGTGTACCTGCGGCTGTTCAACAACAACCCTGGCTGGACACTGCGGAAACCTCGAGACTTTCTCAGTAGTCTGTTGGACACATCCATCAAGCAGATCAACAAGGAAAATCCAGATGTAGGTCGACTGAAAATATCTTATGTGTACTTTAACACAGACAGCACAGTATTTTTTGCAAAATAAAATGGAGTGCTGAATTGATAATTGAGAATTATTTAATATTAGGATTGCGCTAAGTGCTACTAACTGCGTTTTGTTTTATTGAGTTTTTACTATCCGTACTGCGCTTTAATACTTCTTGGGCTATTCAATGTTTTAATTTTGTGAAAAAAAGGAAGATTTGAATTAACAATGCTAATCCTGCGTAACAAGGTGAGATTTCATGCTAATTTCTTCTTTTTTGTACAATGGTAATTTTACTCTTATAGGCATATTGAACTGTTGCTGTCCCAAACAGAAATAGATTCTCAAATTATTATTAGTGTACAGAAGCTGCATAAGTTGACATATTTCTTTTCATCCAAAACAGTTGGCTAGTTATGTGCCAGTTGCAATTATTATCTATTTGGTTTCAGTTCAAATATGTTTTATCATCATCCTCTTCTGTGTTCAAATTGTCATCATATGCTCCCACCATCACAGCAAAATCTTGTATGTCCCCATGATTGCAAAGACTTTTCCATCGTGTCAAGTGATAGCAGCCAAAAAACCCTTTGCAACAACCAATTGATTGACCAAAACTAACATCAAAAATATTTCTTGGTTTTGATTGTTTTAAAATCGACCAATCGTGTAAATTAAATATGCATAATTGCACAACAGGTATATTCCTCAATCTGATCATTTGTGATGTAACAGTTTGACCTGTTGGAGTTGGTGATCACCTCGCTCATCAACCTGCTACAGTGTCATCCCATGTTGGCTGACCAGGTGCCATCCCTAGGGTACATCCCCAGGATCTGTAGCTTGTTGCCGGGCGGATCTTCCAGAACATCTCATGTTCTGCTGAGGATATTGCACCAGTTGTCAATCAGTGATGTGAGTTTAATTGTTCTAAGAATATAGAACAAACAAAAAAAACTGAACATTTTAGTATATGTATGGATCAAATATAATTGGTCTGCAGCTTTAGAAATTACTCACCAAGGGCATTATAGTTTAGTTTATGTTAGAAAGTGCGAGCAGCTTGATTTTGGAGCACATTCGCGTCCAGCATAAAATGCTTGATTGATCAACTACTACGGTATGCAAAAAATTCGAGCCAAATCAAGGCTCCTTTGTCACAATCCCAGGAAGCGAATAAGAAGATTGAGCGATTGAAAATACCAAATTTTGACACGAGTGCTTAACACAATTAACATTCACTAAACCAAACAAAGTTGTGGTAGTTTCAAGTACACTTTGAAGATTTTAAATTATCAAGGGAATAAGATTAGTTAAGAATAAAAGTGCTGCTGGTACATTAAATTGTAATATTTTTTTTCTTTTTTTAAATCCTTGTTTTTAGCTATTGAAGTTTTTAAGATTCAAACGGGGACTATCACTTTTATGTAGTGTTCATGCAGCATTTGAACTAAAGAATCTCATATACTTTTAGTAGTACTTTAGGAAAGTATGCCAAATACCTCAAATTTCTTTAAATTTGCCAGGAATCAAACCCGTCTCTTCCTACCAAAGTCCGTAAAGCTAACCGCTATGCTATTGGGGGCCTAACACTTCAATTTCATAAACACCCAGATAAGCTACACTCTATATTTGATGTCCTACTGTAACATAAGTATCAGCTAAATATGTTTTTCCGCAGGTCTGTATCGGCAGCATGGGACAGACAGAGATACTGAAGCCCATGCAGTCCACGATGAAGGAATATTCCGAACTGGTTGTGTTGGGTTGTGACATGATGGCACGACTCTTCCTAGCGAATAAGGACACACTGGTGAAACAGGTAGGTTTATGTATAGATCGATATCCAGTCAACTATTTGAAACTTTCAGTAAAACCACAAATTTTCTTACCCTCTCCCCTATTTGTTGGTTTGTGGATAAAGAACTGTTTTTGTCAAAATTTACTGCACAAATTAAAAGGGAGTTTTGAATATGTGTGTATGTATGTGTGTATTAATGTGTACTAAACTAGAGAAGACACCAGATTCTGTTCTAATTGAGCGGAGCAAAGCGAAGCTCTTTGGGATCGACTTTAATGCAAACTTTCTGACATAATGCAATAATGGTTGAGCAAATTTCCACCAAATTTGTCAATGTTGTTATGATAATCAGTGGGAAGGTTTTTGACTAAACAAATTATCAATTTGATTATGCCTATACAATTCTAAACTGACATAAAAAGTTTTTAGTAAAAAAATATTAAGTGTTAAGAGTACAATGGGCTTATACATAATGTTTTAAATTAACTCCTCCATATTGTGGTAAAACCATGAACATCTCCCGCAGTCGCCACAGAATCAAAAACATCTTCTGAGCTACTGCAAAACTTTTGCCATCGTTCACGGTAACAGTGAAATCATGAATGTTTTCTGAGGTCACAGAAAATTCTAGGAAACCTTTTGCGGTCATGGCAAAATCGTTAGGCTAATATCTTCCCCAGTCATAGAAAAGCTATAAACATCTTATGCAGTCACTGCAAAATCTTGAACATCTTCTGTGGTCACAGTGACATCTTTATCGTCTCCCACGATCAGGGAAACTGTGAATACAACACACGGTTGTGGCGAGACCCCCAATTTTTGATCAAACAACAAGCTCAGCTTGACTGACCCAAGTTTGGCCGAAAAAATATTTCTAGTCCAAACCACAGAAAACGTACTACTATAACCCAGAATGCCAACCACATGGTAAAAAGCATTAAGCGTACTGGGTTATAGTAGTACGTTTTCTGTGTCCAAACTGATCCCTCCACCTAGCCCGGAGACTTGCAGACCCCTACTAGCAACATACCCTAACAATTGAAATATTAAAATCTCTTTACTTTGGTATTTTCAAAAGTATAAAGAAAAGATAAATTTTTTTCCACAAATATGAAATAAAAATTATATTTATTGAGTGTTTGGATAAAGGGTTCAGTTTGTGCGAATTTTTAATGTAATGTCCGACAAGAAACGAATCTACAGATTTATAAGAGTTGTAAAGTATTCTTAATTAACTAATTAATGCAATATTTTGTAGGCACTAGATGTTGACTTGGTGCCATACCTACTAACGTTGCTGGACGGTAGACTGGACAGGACTGAAAACGCATCACGCAGCAAGGCACTCGTAGTGAAGGCACTAAAGTCTATGAGCCAGAGTGTTCTGTATGGCAGTCAGGTAAGCTGGTAGTTACAATACAACTACAGTTGGTACAACTTGACTATCTACCTAGTTTTTTAACCCCAAGTAATTTACAGCTTAAGTACCAGCTGTTTGCTGCTCCTACAAGCCGTTCAAATTTGTAGAAACTAAGCTCTTGTACATCTGATTTAGCTGTTAAAGGCTGTTAAATTATTTCTTACCTACAGATGTAATTTTATAACTAGACAGCAATGAAGTCAATTAATTTTATTTTCATAGACAGATTATTGGTGATATTTAAATTTCTAATGTCATAAATGTAAATACCTTAGTTTCCAGAACCTACCCTTCCAGAACTTACCCTCTTTGTCCAGAAGTTAAAAATTGCAAGAAATGCTTTTTAGACAAGTAGGCTATGAATTCTAACAATTTCCAATTCTGTTTCAGGTCAACGCTGTTCTCAACAATTCCAAAGTTTGGGCTTCGTACAGTCAACAAAACCATGACCTTTTCATTACCAACACTCCCACGCAAAATTACCTGACAGGTAAACCTAATGATTAATCTTGTTGTCTCTTTTATGCTTCAGTAGCATTTTGAAACTTTCTGCCACTCAAGGAAAGTAGAGCCCTAGTAATTATAGTAAAAATTGCCAACTACAGTAGAGTCTTGATTATTCGTCAAAATAGCCGAGGCATCTGTCAAGTGAAAGGATGGACGGGATTTAGTTTTCAGTTTGGGTCGGGATGTATTTTAAATATATATATATTGAGATCCGGCAAAATTGCTGTCGATTTGAACGAATCCCGTCCCCGAAAACCCTCAATCAATGTATTAGTATCTCAAGGATGGAGAACATATTTTTCCCAATAGTTTCCTGAAATTTCTGGACATATCAGTCCCTAGTTAATTGGAACATATTGAACTCAAATATTTTTTCTGGAGCCAACATCACAAATTAAAAAATAAACAAGTAAAACACTACCAAAGCAGTAAAATATACGTGTCATAATGGCCCTCTTACCCATCATCTTGGAGCTCTGTTCATAAGACTAAGAAATGAGAGATAGCAGAGAAATATTAATGTATGAATGATTATCTGACAGACTTTTTGTGGTATTTTAAATCTATGGTGATGAAGCCTGCGAAACAAAGGGAAACAGTCAAATGCAGGAGTTTGTATCTCACATGTACAGTCAGGGCAAAGAAGGGATTTTCGTAACGCAACTACTATAGTGCACAGTAATATCACACCAAATTGTACTGTTGTTTATTTATATTTATTTACATGGAAGGTTGGCCATCCAAAGATCAGACAATCTAGACTCTACTGTATACAAAACACTTTTTTTCAAATATTCTTCACAGTTTTGAGTTAAAACTTTGAATCGTTTCGAGTAATTGAAGTTAAGCTCTTCAACCATTTAAAAACCTTTTATTCAATTTTATAATTATTTCTACTAATTAGGAAGTAAATGTTAATAATTCAAAGCTAATTATTTCAGACAAGAATATCACAAAATAATAGCCAGAGAGAAACCAGGTTAGAAACTGATGATTCAATGAGAAAAGTCACTGTTATTGTAAGCAAGTATTAAAATTTTGGTTTTCTTTTTGCGTGGGGATGCTTGTTAAGGGATTGCATTTGCGTTGGATTGTTTTTATTCTCACAACTCATTTGGATATTTTGGAAATATTAACATTTATGTGGAAGGTAGCTAAACAGGGAAAAAGTCAATGAAGAGGGAATCTCTATGCTAAGAAGACTGGTTCAAAAATTTAAGAGTTTGCCGTATGAAGTTGATGAAAGTAAAAAATGTACTTTTTGCTATAACTAATTCACTGCAAAGTTTAAATCACGTTCCTCTTGTTCTTCTTCAAATCCCATGTAGGGCTAGGTGTTGTAATCTGATTCATAATTAAAACGTTCATGTGAATTTAACCTACATAGTTCGCTGCTGTTAAATACAGTAGACCTTCACTTTTTATCGGTTTATGTATTTTAATTGTATAAAATAGACTGTTTTTTATTGAAATATAAAGTTTTGTAATCGTGTGGGAACTGCCTTGTTCTGAGGCGCAAACATGAGCAAAAGTCAATTTTCACAGTTTGAGATAGAAAAGAACTGTAATTCCAAAAGTTGTAGATAATTTGATTCTGCACTAATGAATCCAAGCTTTGGTTCAGCTTATACAGACCAAAATATAAAGAAAGGCTTACATAATTGAATTTCACCAGAAATAGCTTCCTCCGCCCCCCCCCCCCTAAACCCCCTTAAAATTTTGGTATGTACCCAAGGGAGGTACAGAAGAGCCTTCGATGACGTCAGCTGTCAGATCTCCCCTCTTCAGGGAACACCATTACCGCAACGAAACAGAGTTCAGTCATCGGCCTCGGTGGTGTAGTGGATAGCGTTTCGGGCTGATAATCCGAAGGTGCCGGGTTCGAATCCCGCTGCCAGCACTAATTTTTTGTCAACATTTTTGTTTTCATATTAGCAAATTTGGTTGGTTTGGTTAGGTTATTACAGTTTAATTTAATAACTGAAAAATTTTAAGACAATTTTTCATAATTTTACCTAACCCGCCATGTTAAACTTCCCTATCCCAAGCGTGATGTATACAACTTCTTTACTTCTCGAGTGATGTAAAGTTGAAAAAACTCACTCGGTGAGGTAATGAAACCCATTTAAATAACATTGAATGTTTTACTTAAAAAAATATACCTCTATGGAGCCAACGACGATCAACGCTAGAAATCAGCTGTGCGCTTGAATTTTATTGTTATACTTTGAAGAATTTTCCTAACCTAGCTTTTGTTTGTAAATGAACGTTACTGTTAGAAGATGAGTGAAATGAGTAATGAAAAATATTTCTCGTAACCTCCTGTATATTGTCGGGTCAGGTAAAATCTTGTACGTTACACGTTACGCAAGAGCGTGATGTAAAAACGCTCTTACTACACTTGTAATGTAAATAGCTATTATAATTAACTAGACCTAACTTAATAGTGAATTAAAAATTATGCGTGCTCTCTACCACAACGCTGTTAACGGGGGAATTTTGAACTAAACTATGATGTCATCGTTGCCTCATTTGTACCTCCCTTAAGTCAGACCCTAAAATTTTGTATTTTGTATAACCACGTCTTATTGCACATCTTCGCCATACAGGCACCACCTATGCCAAGTTTGATAATTCTAGGTCGTATATTTTGTGAAATAGTGATCATCTGTCAGTCAGTGGTATTTTTCTTTTATAAGTAGGCCTACCTATAGAGATAAAATAAAATGTATTTCAATGAATTATGAGCTAAATTTTTGTGTTAAAAACTTAAACAAAATCTTAAGCCTGCCCAATCTGCTTCTGGATAATCAAGGTTCTACTGTAGGCTATCGTACTGTTTTTGTTTTCAGCTTATTTGTTATGATGCTAAACTAATTTTGTTAAACTACATTATCTTTGGGTCCCGCTAACGATGGTTATGTCAGAGTATTTTACTCTAAAATTATGTAAATCGCCTTTACATAATGAATACAACTAGAGATAATTAAATGACACATGATATCAGTTTAGTCTTTAATTATTTTTAAAATTCTAAAATCCAGGTGTAATGTAATTTTTGAATTTATGATAGTTTATGCTCTTATATTACTAGTTGCTTTATTCATGCTTTGTAATGGAGTGGGGATTCAAGAGCTACTAATGTGTGGTAAATAAATATGTTTATAGCAACAATAACCGACCGGCCAGAAACATTAGGCATCATATTCACTGCCACTATATTTTATAGAAACATAAATCAACTCTTACTGTATTTAGTTTGATATTGTTTTTAGTTCTTCAATTAGTTGTATGGTTAACAACTTCACCGATGGTAAATTAAACAAGTATACCATGTGCTAATACTCTAACCTGCAGTAGGCTGTGATTCGTTAGTTTTTTTCACTTCCCACACTCACCCTCGTATATGCCACAGGGGTGCCGATGACTGCTGGATACTTGACACAGGGTAGTTCCCAGCCTCTACCCACCTCTCCCCCTCCCCTCGACCCTGACAACAGCTGAGGGACGAGTCACCAATGTGATATGTTTTGTTACTCATATACCCACTTCAAGCCTGTGATCACCATGTAAAGTCACCTAGGTTAAGTCTAGTTTTGATGTCGCTTAGTATATAATTTTGCTTTATATTATTATTTATCCTCTTAAGAAGAGTCGATAATCGTGTGTGACTTGTCACACAGATAGTAAAATATTAGGTTACAAAAATGTTTACTGTTCAAAAGCAGTGGGACATATTGTATGTGATTTTTCTCTGTTGATAATCTCTATGGCTCATTTAGTACTCAAATTCCTCGTTTTTTCAGTGCTATTATTTTATTTTGTTTCACTGATATTCCATATATAATATTAAATGGGGTTTATTTTGGCATATTTTATATTTTGGCCTGATAATTAGTTTACTAATTAACCATAAACATGCTATAATTTCTACTTTTTGGATCATATTTTGTTGTTTTATATATAATTATCTATAATCTGTTTTGTTACATTTTATTATATCGTTATATTTTGAACATTATATATTTCTATGTAAATAATGTATTTAAACAACTGAATTAGGTAGGCCTAAATGTTATTTTTATGAAGTCAGTAATTTTTAATATTAGAAATTAAAAATGTTTAATGCGGAACTGTTTATGTATACAGTTTGTAATTATTTTTTTATCGTCAATAAATATTATTTCTACCAATGTATTAACTTAGGTCTTACCTAGATTACAAATTGTTTAGTAGTTGCTCAAAACTGTTTTATTGCCATTTATGTCGCCTTTTTCAGTCTTTCTATTAAATGTGAGCAATAACTAGTTCGCCGTGTGGTAAGTGTTTGCAAAATTTCAAATTTCAATGTTCTGTAACTTTGGATAGTTTTGCAATCTCTAAATAACGAACATTATTTTCCCCACCTAACTTAGGAAAGCTTTATTTTATTATGAAAAGCATATCTGATTGTATATAACAAATTATTTATTGTCAAACTTATGTACATAGTATCGAGTGCCTCTTCAGCTGTGTTTATTGTTATGTTTTATATTCTTTATAGTATTGAGAAAAGACAGTTTACTAAGGTCGAGCCCACCTTGCATTGACTGACTAGGTAGCCAGTGGGTGTTGCATTTATGATTGTAACTGTACATAACAAGGTATGTGTATAATAAATAATTTATAGTAAATGATTTGATAATTTTGATGCCTTAAAATGTTCATCCTAGTTTCCGCTTGCGTTGCGTCTGAATGTCGACCTCGGCTTCTACACAGAAAATCAGCTGTTTCCGTTGGTAGCCGTTGGATGAGATTTTCCAGTAGCCTGTCTGCAGTGGCAGCCGCTCCATGTTTTTGAGTGAAAACGGAGCGTCAGTCATGTTATAAGTACCCTGGGGACAGTTCGGAGTATTTTTAATAAGAAAAGAAAATTTTGAAAGTATGTATCAAAATATCAATGAGTATTTTAAAAAATTAAACTTTTATGCCTTTTAAGAGGACTTTTCTGAAAGAAAGTTAATTTCCGGTGTGTGCTCTGAAGTTTCATGTGCGAGGCAAAGCCGACCACAGGAACACATAATTTCACGTGCAAGGGGAAGCCGAGCCTGTAAGAAGAGTTTCACATACGAGGCGATGCCGAGGACGAGAATAATTGTAGCAAGCGCCAGAAAATCTACACAAGTATTATGAACGATACTTTTCATCACGGCAAAAAAATATGTAGCCTACAGAATAACATATCTAAATAAATTTAAACTATTTTGTTTCAAAATGTTTAGGTTAAAAGAATTTTTAAATAAAAATAAAGCAAATGGGTTATAAAACTCTTTCCTGACAAAAGTAAAATAACAAGTTCAAGGTTATGTTTATTTTGCAGTAAACACGCACTATGATAAAAATAGCAAAACTAGCTTATGTATATTCCTGTTTACATTTATATTGTAAAATACTAGTAAACAGCTGATTTAAATTGTAAAAAAAATAATGGAAAATGAACATTAGTGCGCGTGTATAGTGGGGAAATGGCAAACTGATTGAGAGCAAGGGAAAGTAAATTTTAGCAAGGATAAATCAGCAGATTCTTTCCCCATGCCACAGAAAACGTACTACTATAACCCGGAATGCCAACCGCATGGTAAAAAGGCGCTGCCTACCGATTGACAGGCAAAGCTCTCTCAAACCGCTTAATGCTTTTTACCATGCGGTTGGCATTCTGGGTTATAGTAGTACGTTTTCTGTGCCCATGCTCTGAATTAGAACTTTGGTAAACAAATTATTTTCTACGAGTGTCGTAAGACAAACTACGGGAGTTGCTTACACTAGTCTACGATAATTTGTTAATTATTTTTGTAAAACTTTATTACCTATTCCTTTCTGTTACTTTTTTCAGGAAATAGTACTGCTGGCAGCATTCTTACCATTAGTACTGTTTCAGGTACAAGAAGACGAATATTATATATTTCTTTGGAATACTAAATGCTATAACTCGTATATCAACTAAAAACTACAAAGAAAATTTCGCATCCCATAGTGCTTGATATTTAAATTAATAACTTAGGTGTTTAAAAAAATATTTTGAGATGGTAAATAACTCTTAAGCGGCTGTTTTAAATTACCGAAATTTACATTGCTCTTATGGTGGGCAAATCCAAGATGGCAGTTAGCATCCATGGACCCCCTTGGAAAAGAATTCAAAACTATAAAGTTTTAACCCAACAGTGTCCTAGATAGGTTATTTAAATCATAATCACTTTGGTTAAACATTTTTGGATGATAAATAACTCTTTAGCAGCGGTTTGAAATCATCCAAGATAGCCGCTAGCCTCCAAGGACTCTTAAATCAAAACTAGAACGCCTCTACCTAAAAGTATCCATTCAATAATTCTGAGTGCCCAGCAAGCTTAACATGTTTTAAACATTTTACTAATTCACATTATTAAATAACTCATTGTTTACCACGGCGACTGGACATTTGTCGGACAATCCCTGGATGTGCTCCACAAACTCGGTCCACATCTTGTTCTTATCGTGCAGCTGTTTACAGTCGAGTATCACTCTGTGTCGAGAGTTGAACTCACATGTGTCTTCTCCTTTTATCTGGCATTTGGTCAACTCCAGTATCATCTGTGAAGGAATAAATATTTTACTCATTCTGAGAACATTCTGCTGCTTGTACTTACAGAAAAAAATTAATTTATGGTAATGTCACGATGGACCTCAAGGGATAGCAGAAGTTCAATAACTGGGAATTTGGGGGTCGTTGATTTGTTTGCACATTGAAGATACATAGTAATCTACATTAAGGGGTTTATCAATCCTAAACTACTCTAGTTTTTATTTAATGTAAGATATACACTCTTTTCTTGTGTTTCCTCCGTCTTAAACTAGTATTTTACACCCTGGCAATAATTAACTCGGTTTACCTTATATCTAATGGAATATAAGACTTACAATTTTACTTGAAGTATCACGCGAGTTAACTCAACAACATTAGCAACATTGAGCAACATTAGTTGCTTCACCAATAACGATGTCGGGACTAACTCGAACTTGTCGTGGTAGTTGCTGGTGAGGAACTTTCCTATCTCGTGGCTGGTGAGGAACTTTCCTATCTCGTAGCTGGTGAGGAACTTTCCTATCCCGTGGCTGGTGAGGAACTAACTTTCTTACTTGCCGTCTGAGGGTTCCTCGGTTCATCCCTCTCGCTCCCCTCTCTAACAAAGTAGGGGGCTCAGCTGATCGGAGACGTCTGCTGTTGCTACTTGCTATAGTATACATTCATACAAATTGGAATTTGGAAATAGCCTGCAATTTGTACAGGTTCGATCATCTGCGGGGAGGATTTGATAATTGAGACTAACAACATTACATCTGTCTTACAGACACCTTTAACAGTTCATACTCACATCAATTTTGCCACCAACAGGTCGCTTCAATGTAAACTGTGCGTTTACGTTCATCACAGTTTTTTGATAGTTCAGAAGCGCGTTGTTCAGAACGATGGAGGTGTTTACTTCTGGACATTGAAACAGCTTTTCAACATGAACTTCTTTTGTTCCCTGCAAGTACAAATCGAAATTTGTGAAATTCGGATGAAAACCGTTAGATTTTTCATCTATAATCGACATGGCCGCCTTTCTTGCTGTTCAGACCCTGAATTAATATAATTGTACTTTCAAAACAAGCTACTGAGAATACCTCTTCATAGTAAAGGCAAACAGCTGGCAGCAATCGACTATAAATTGTCAACAGCGTAGACAATGAAAACCACCATGGCTTTTTATGACACTCGCTGCAAATCCTACATATGATTATTTACTAGCCCCCCAATGATCAAGGACAGCTAGGCTCAGTTTCAAACCATCAAATAGTCTTTTCTCAGAATTGAACTGGCAACCTGTTAGCTAGAGGAGCACTGTATCCTCTGCAATACCCAGCTATAAGTTAGTTAAGTTTCAAACCTTAAGCAGTCAAAACCCTTAAAATATTTGTGGTTGTGTCAAGGACTAATGTTGTCATATTCAATTGAAAATTAACATACCATTTTTGAGAAAATTCTAACTGATGATCACTCACCATTAAAAAATTATCATTAAAAAATAAAATAGTTTTGTTTGCAGCAACTTTGGTACCTACATGAAAAAACTCTAAGGGTTTTTGACTTGGTATGCTAATGTTCAAAGTGACTATTTAAAATTAAATTTGCCTGACAATATAGTGACATAGTGTTTATAGTTGAAAAATACTCTCATTCTTAAATTTAAGTGTAAATCTTAGAGATTGCAGGAACTCAATAATGCAAAGATTAGGTAAAAAAAATACCTAACTTCAGTAAACTGTAAAAGTAGGAAAATGTTTTCAATCTTATCAGCTCTAAAAGATATGCCTAAATGATGTTAGTTTATTTAACTTTTGAACAAATTATACATTATTGTGATTGTACTTCACATACATTACTGTACTTACAATTAAAATAAGAGCTGCCAAATTTAGGTTTATAACGCTGCAAAAAACCACTATGAAAATCATGATTGCCCAAAAGAGAACAGTTAGATACTGCTATTTTTAAAGAGTCCTTCCTCCAAAATGGCATTGGGCGCGTTGAAACATGTAAAGATAAAAGATAACTATCCGGGTATGTAGATAATATCTGTTTGAATTCATTAGACAGGTTTTGCTTGTTATTCAAAATAAACAATGACAGATCCCTATCTCTTTGACCTGTGAGTAATATATTGTAAAACAAAGTATAAAAATTTTAGTATGACATTTGCTGGACTGTTTTCCGTTATAAAATCTAGTAGGTAATGTGCTACTTTTCCTAATTTCACAATAAAACAATTTGAAGACCCAAAATTAAAATTAGATACTGTATGTGTTATTTTTAAAAGGTCACAAAATTGTAAATAATATGTTTGTAATGCCGAAAATTTTAAATTGTTGGCCTTGAAATTTAATACTTCTCAACACGGCTTTAAACCGTGCCACAAGCTTCAATGTGGAATTTGCAAAATTGTTAGTACTTTATCGAAGCAGTGTTTTACGTAGTTTTTTTTATAAATGGGCCCGGGCTCAGAGGGGCAAATTGAGTTGGGGGCTCAAGGAAGAGAAAAACTCCCCAACAATGGTAAGTGGAGAGAACTTATCCCTCGGGCCCCTAGCGCGTATCACATGTAAACCGCGAGCCTGGTTTTACGCCTAATAGTTATGGAGAAAATTCAAAAACAGTTAGGTAGTTAAAAATTTCCATTGTCCTTTTGGAGAAAAAAATAAACTTTATGGACTGTCAAAGGAAGGTTCCGGCGCCCACCGCTAGGGGTGCCATGAAGTTACGGCGCACACAG